AGAAGACTCAATTGATGTTGCACAAACGATGACATTGCTGATAATGTCCACCCATATGCAGAAATGCCACGACAAATTGCAACACTTCTGGCCAAGCAGACCCAAGATCAAGTGGCGAATTTGACCAGCAACCTGATGACCTTCTTTTCTTATATCAAGCGAAGGGATGAGGATGTGGCAATAGCCTTCATGGAGCTCATTCCGCAGCCCACTTAGTTAACGGATGAGATACAATCCGAGATGCCACGGTAAGCTCCTTTGCATAGGAGCCGACGCAGCCTGAAGAAGGCATCTAAGCGTGAGGAGCCCCATCTCTTAACCTTCTCTAAAGGTCTCAGTACTCCTCCAGTTGCACCCGCTTTTGACTCCGAACACTCCAACCCCACCCAACTGCGTAAGCGCACCCGTGGCACGACCGCCACACCACCACACGCATGAAGTCAATACACCTTGCATTGCATTGCATTCATAGCATATAGTTTCATTTTTCTAAGTTTAGTAAGCATTGGGGAAAATCTTTCTCTCAAGTTTGGGGGAAGTAGGGTTCTCGCATCACTGCATGATAGTAGTAGTAAAATAAATATGCCATGACATTAATAAATGTTTGAATAGTTTTCTGGAATTAGTTAAGGATGCCTGATGATGATGATGATTTTGATGGCTAGGATAGAATGTACATGACTGGTTGAGGATGATAGAACCAGCTCTAGGACTTGTTTCTTTGAAATATTTGAAAACACGATTGTATGTTTTCCATGCTTGAGAAACTTGAGAATTTTTAAATGCCATGGCATAAAACTTTTAATGATGAAAACTGCTAAAAAAATGTTTGGAATGAAGTTGAGAATAAATGCTTAGGCATATCTGTAGAGGGACACTCCGCTATGACATGTCATATGAGTGAATGAAATATGTCACAGGATGACTCTACCTGACTAGCTCGGGGGTGGAAGGTATGCTCCCTTTCACCTAGAGTATGGGATGGTAAAGTGATGGGTTGACTCCCCTCGTAGCAGAAATAAAGGAAAGAAAGCAAGGTGGGATTAAAATTTTCTAAATGTCATGGAAAATTAAGAAAGCTTGCTTAGAAAATTTTTAAGTTTGTTAAGCATGGACTGGATACAACACGCACACACCCCACACAAAGAATCTTGCCCTAGGGGACAGTACTAGATTTCCCAAACCTAGTCTAGCATGTTGAAGCCATATGTGCTGAGGGCTGAAATTTTATCCCATAAGACTATTCTGCTTCTGAACTTGTCATGGTATTTTTGTTTTGCTTGTTACTATCCATTGCTTGAGGATAAGCAATAGCTTAAGTTTGGGGGTGTGATAACTCCGTAAAAGGTCACATTTTGGGACCTTTTCACTTAAGTTATTGAATGTTTAAGAGCTCATTTAGGACCATGTAGATGTATTTAGAAGCATTTAGTTGCATGTGGTGGAATTCGGTTTGCCGCGACATTTTAATTTGTCATCAGTGCTACCTTATGGGGAAGGTTTTTGTCTAATGATGTGCAGGAATTAAAAGCAAGGGAAAAGAGGAAAGGAAATGACGTGACATAAGGAGATTGCTGAGCAAAATGCAATTGCCAAGTTCTACTGGCATTTCGAAAGCGCTTTAAGTGTGAGAATATATTTTTTGAAGCTAGCTGTCTCCGACTTCCTGAGAGCTCTGCCCGAGAAATCCACCTCGAAGATCCGCTTGGAGGGATCAGTACTGCAACCGTCGGTCCTGCTGATGAGGCCGCATGACCCTGTAGATCTTGTTTGTCCTTGGGCGCCTGCAACGGGACTATGTCGGGTCACTCAGCTAGCTACCCAGGCTGTATCATAGCCTGTTCAGCCCGACTCCCAAATAACTTAATCATGGTTTTGGGGTTTTCTAGGATAGTCAACAACAAGTCCTAGGATTAGTTTTCCCCTATAAATAAAGGATAAAGCCACATTATTGAAGACTTTGGTTCCACCCAGATTTGAGCTTAAAAAGTTAAATAGAAAATGTCTCATCTTTCTCCGTCAATCCTACTTGTCGTGGTATTTCTTCGTGACAAGCTTGAAGGAGTGGTGTTCTAGACATTCGAGATGAGCTAGTTCGCTGGGGGCAGTTCGTGGTGGCCAAGGGAAGCTCTGGTAGCCATGTCGAAGGCTTTTTCTCCTTCCCTTTGTTCTTTGCTTTAATATTTTATCACTTGGGTTGTAAGGAACGGATAAAACTTGCTTTGTGTTTGTTTATTTCGAATCCCACCATGAACTAATCCTATTTGGAGGGAGTTCATTTTGGATGTTTAAGTTTCATTTCAATGAATGGTTATTTTTCTATGCTATAATCTGTTTTGTTTATGAAGCTTAGTGCCTTAAGGTTATAGGAGATTCTTAGGGTTCGAGAGAATACCTAGGTAACACATCCTTAGTATTCAAGAGAAGCAAGGGGTTCTAGATAGTAACTAGGCCTAATCCTCCTTAGAGATAAGGCTAGGATTTCATTCGACTAAAAGGAGTTGTGCATGAGCGATAGGTTAGATGTTACATGTGCCGTAAAAAGGTATTGTCGAGACATATCCTGTTATCTGGACCAATAGGATCACTGCAGGGGTTTACGCCAACCAGTTTTGCCAGGGCATCTTCAATCTGTCGAGTCCCTTACTAGAGATAGCATATGGCACCTTAGTATACTCTGTCGGGCAGAAGAGGCATAGAGATAAGACTATTCGGAGAAGTAAACTTAGATTTTCCAGAGTGACTCCTATCACTCATTCCTATAGCAGCTTGTCGTGTGAGAAAGACAACGTCCTATTAATTAACTCGTATATTGACAATTTATTTTGTCTTGACATTTTCATTTGTTTGCACTCAACACAATTCAATTTGACATGATATATCCATCTGCTACCATACTACCACCATTTCATTTCCACAACATCCATCTCATTTTGCCACAACATTATCATTTGTACATACCATCACTAACTTTACTTAGGTGACAAAGTAAAGCATTTTGATAGAACTTATTCGACTTCCTCCAATCCCTGTGGAGACGATACTCACTTATCACTGTATTACTTGTTTGATTGTGTATACTTGCAAATATATCCGCACTCATTTTATAGTACCCACAAGAGTGGACACTTTCACGTATTGCACATCTCGAACAACTTTAATTGTTCCATCATACATCTTCAATTTGATGGTTCTCACGCCAACGATCTCTAAGGCATGATCATTGCAGCTATACACAGATCCTCCTGAGACAGATTCAAAATGATGGAACCATTCTCTTCTTGAGGTCATGTGATATGTTGCTCCTGAATCAATGAGTCATATATCTACAAATCTTTTTCTACCTTCCACGGTGGTTGATGCTTCACAACATAGAGCATCTCCATTATCTGAAGTGTTTGTGGTATTGCCTTGTGTATTGGAGTTTTTATTTAGACTCCAACAATCCTTCTTCAAGTGACCCTTTTTTCTACAGTTGTAGCACTTTAAATTCTTCTTGCTTCTCGACTTTGATCTACCATGTTTGTGACTACTGTTTTGGCCACGTTTTGTTGATCTCCCTCTCATCGTTGTCAACGCTTCTGCTTGTTGCAGATTTACTTGTCTGTCTTCCTTGTTCTTGCGCCGATTTTCTTCTTCTAACAGCAACTGCAACGTCATCGAAAACTAAACTGGTGACATTATTGTTTGTCAAGTTGATGATGAGTTGATCATACGAATCATGTAGACTTTGAAGTAGAAGTTCAGCACGTTATTGTTATCCTATTGTACATCTTAAGGATGTAAGCTGAGAAAATAAAGTGTTTAGGCTGTTTAAGTGCTCCGTCACTGAAGTAGATTCTGGCATCCGGAAAGTGTACAATTTCTTCTTAAGGAAAATTTTATTGTGCAACGATGTGGCATCGTATAATTTTGTGAGATGATCCCATATCCCCTTAGTTGTCTTATTCTCTTCGATGCTTGACAATACTTCATCTACTAATGCTGGATGAAAGTTTGTCATAGCATTCTCGTCCAATTTTATCCATTTGTTGTCATCTGTGAAATTTATCGGCCTTTCACTGATAATTGCTAGACAACCGTCTTTCCTCAAGATGACATTCATCTTCAATTTCCACAATGAGAAATTTCTCCCATTGAACTTTTCAATATCAAATTTCGTTGTCATAGCTTCTATTACGGATAGTTTCCACTATTTCACTATCGTGAATAGTTCTCTAGAACCTTCAAAGAATGGATAATATATTCTTACTTTCTTATGTTGGAGGATCCACCTTTTGGTGGCAACCACAAAGACAATAAGTAGATATTACACACTCTAATCTGGCTCTGATACCCATTGTTGCGAAATACGGCTATCGGATAGAGCAAAAATCGCAACTGATAATTTGAGAAAATAAAAATGAAGATAAAAAAGACACAAATTTTAGTTGAAAACCCCTAAATAATATAGGATAAAAATCACGGGTAACGATAGAAGAATTTCACTATGAAAAAATAGGAATTACAACTTCTCTCGATTTAACAAATAAAAAACAATGACAATTCTCTCTTGATAAAAATGAAAAAACAACTCTAAAAAAACTCTCTAAAATCTCTAATATTATGATAAAACTAGAACGATTTGGGATAAATTTAAAGTTAAATAAAATAAAATATTTATAATTGAAGCTTAAGGACTAACTTTATAAATATTCTAAAGTCCAGGAACTAAATAAACAATCTTTTCATTACCATAATTTCAACAAAATCAAGCCAATTTTCGATGCCCCAATTTTGACAAATTTAATATTTTTTTTCAACTTTTCACCGAAAATTTGGTCATCAATTTGGCCACTTGATGTCTACTTTTCAACAAATCTAATATCCAAATGAAGAATTCTCTAACCCCAAATCATATAGCCTCAAAACTTAAGCTTCACATCCCGAGCCCGAGTTTCTATTTGAAAAATAGAAGATAAGACTACCTTTTTCAATCTGCTATCAAAACCAGTAAAAATTGCAATGCTTAAGCAAAACAATAATTGTCCTCGTAATATGAAGCCAGGGCCGAATTTCTATAGTCCCTCTAGTCGGGGACGTAAAAAATACAAAACATATTCGGGCATCTATATTCGATAGTTGTAGCATCATCTTTTCCCAATCGATACTTCAGACTTCCACAGGCAGTCTTTCTCATTATAAAATACAAATACTATTGAAGGCAATACGACGTTGCAAATCATAATGAATTCGATTCTGAGTTCAACAAAGCGCCGAAAGTGCTACCGATGCATCGGAAATTTAGATGTCAGCTCAGCTTGCCTGGATTTGTAGCCTGGTGCAATAGATTCCCGTTCTCTTCAGAAGTAGTAAGATTCAAAGTAGGTAAGGGGACCTGATTAAATCCGTTAGACTTGACCGCTCCAGGGGAGGTGTCCGTTGAGATTGTGACTTTTTCCGGTTCAACAGTTTTGACAGCTAACCCGTCCGCTGCATCTTGTTTTTCTAACATTTCCATATACCGTAAAGATGGGACATCACCCTTACAATACCTGCACCACATGTTTCGATATGTTGCCTCCAAACCGCTGATAAAGTTTTGTCCGTCGCAGATAGGTGATTTAGACATAAGGTCTCGAAGACTCATTCTCAGGTCCTGGAGGGCAGTGACGTCTGATGCTAGTTGTAGTGCCAACTGGACGTATTCATCTTCATTTTTGGCTATCAGATGTTGCAACCCTACATTGTAAGTACCCGTATAATATATAATTTAGCCGGACGAAAAAAATGCATTAACCGATAATAGATATTCACAAGAAAAGGCGAAGCTCCTTACCAACTTTGCTGAGAATACTAACACCAACATTGTGAGCATGTACTGAACCGGCCATGGTAACACATGGGACTCCCATGTATAGAAATTCACATGTTGTCGCCATTCCGGCATATGGAAAGGTGTCCAAACTACATAAAGACAAGTAACAAACATTAGAAGTAGAAAACACGGACTTATTTTTTGACTAAAACGCTCATAAAACTTTTAAAACAATAACGAGAAGTATCCAAGTCCGAGCAACATAGAAATATACAACAGGGAAGACAAGATAAGGAAAACTTAGCAAGGCACAAAGAATGCAGTAAAATTCTACCTGATGTCCATAAGAGAATAAGCTTGCATATGATCATGGTTAAGAAGAATTAGAGGTAGAAGATCGACACGGAGTGATTCTAAGCCCAACTGCTCTAATGTTGTGAGAAATTTCTGCCGAACACTGTCACAACAAAATGGCTTGCATTTTACCACGAGACGGGAGTTTGGAACAGCACATAATATCCTCGCCCATACTCGTAAAACCTTGGGTGTTATCTGACAAAAAGCTCAGATAATAGGTTAACTATGAATGCTCTGACAAATAAAAACTACCGAATACCGTTACAGTCACCAAACAGTACCTTTGCCAGATTATTAAAGCTGCCAAATGTAATGAACCCATTGGCAAGAGCAGGAGTCGGTGAAACACGTCCGGCCTCGAGGGAAGGAGTATAACAAAGGAAGCATTCTGGAAGTCGAACTAACTCTTCAACATGCCTGTCATTATGCATGATTATTGCCCGAGAAAAACCATTTCCATATTTCATGAACATAAGAATTCTAATTAAAAATGTAGGAGGCTAAACTCTAAAGTAAAAAAGGACTTACTTCTGCTTTGTATCAGGAGGATCTGCAAACGAATCGGTTATTCGATAATCGATGGTAGGCAAACCAGTAGTATTGGGATAGCCAATCCAAGTTACCTGCAGTGAAAGACATTAAAAGAAATCAAGGAGAAGTCGAAAAATTACTAGCCTACCAAATCAAGCTTACAGAAAAAGCAAAAATCACCGTGCATAAACCGAACACCCAAAAATCAACTTAAATTCGACTCCAACAGATTTCTTTTAAAAGGAAATTCTTTTAGTGCAATCAATGATAGAAGAAATTAAACAGGAAAAAGTTTAAAAAACAAAAAACATGGAGCCCTAAGAATACCTGAACTGGTGCGGGTCGACATGCCATTGTTCCCAACTTGTTGTTGGCTGTATGACCAGTAAGCTCTACCAAGATGTCAATTTTGTCCTCTCTAACCATACTTGCAACCTTCTTTTCATCAACACCATAAATATCTCTCCATAACCCACCCTTTTTCATGACCCTTTCCCTAAATCTAATAGTTTTTGCATCAGCCTGCAAAATCATAAGAATGTAAGTTCAGAAAGAAAAGCGTAGTCCATTATATATGAATATAACACCTTAAAATCTTGCAATAGAATATGGAGTCATAGTTCCAGATATTTTGCCACCGTAATTATTGATATGGACAACATAGTGGCGAGAAAAGAACGGATTAGAGGATTCTATTTAAAAAAAAACAATTCTAATGAAGGGCTTTGCACAGCTGAGCCGGCACTGGGTGTAATCATGGAATTACTTTAATGGATGATGATAAATACGGGTAAATTGAGGGAGGAAAACAATCCTAATGCATCCTTGATGCCGCAGATGGCATTGAAATATAATTTGAATCCATTTGGAGCTTTAAAGGAGAAAATAAAAGCAAAGGTGGTGTTACTCAACTAAACATGCTCATATCTGTAGGATTGCAGATGATGGAAGCTAAGGGAAGTCACTATGCAACTGACATAAATATCTCTGATGATTTAGTACCTTCACTACCGCAGAATAAACAACCACCTGATAGTTCCCATAGTCATGATAAATAAGAGGGCCTTCAATGAAATAAGACACGGAATGAGTGAAATAATCTGAAGAAATATATCCAATCACAAGAGGTCGTTCCGGATCTTTTGGCTTGTCCCATGAATTGTACTGCGGATATAACCTCATAAATCGCCTTCCCCAGTCCCTATTTTAAAAAAATATAAATAGAAGGCCTTAAGAAACTGAGTTTAAGATTAGTCAAAGATGATCAAAATTTGATCAAGTTTTTCCAAGATGCCAATACTTGCATTCACCATTCAGCCAAGAAATGTATAAAATTTGTCAATTGACCATAGAATTGAAACAGGGAAAGTAAACAGGGATTATCCATATCTTTTCTTTCAGGCATCTATTTAGAGTGTATATATCAGGGTATCAAAGATATCATCACTTCATTTAAATCAAGTTCTCAATAGTCATTGTTGCTAATATTTTCATCATCCATAACTTTATAAAAAATTCTAGATCAGTTTAGGCTTTTCACAATGCAGGTTATTTGTCAACACAAAATTACAAGGAAACTAGAAAGATGTTGCCATTATGGCTTAAAAACATGCATTTGTACAATGCATACGAAAAAACTATATGAGATAGAAGGCTTCAATATTATAGTAGCACATAAAATATTCATATAGTTGTTCTTAGATGCTCACACAAAGGTCATAAATTATTTGTAATGACAACCAGATATTAACATAATACTAATAGAAAAAAGATATCAAAATGCAAATTAGGGTATTACGAATTCAATTAAACCTGTGAGCGTCAAAAAGTTTATCATCTCCTTCATTTATGTAGTTCATTGCCAGCAGCCGGTTCTGCAAAAAGTTTGAAACATAATACAAACAAATGGGACCGATCAATAAACAAGGAGAACCGAAGCATACAGTATCAAACTTTAAAGGTGAATAGAAGTCTCGAGTGACAACTTATTGTGTTAATTTTTTTTCTCTAGTTCATTTTCCTTTTAATTGAATATTCTGTTTTTCTCTCAACAAACAATTAGCATTTAATCTAATAGACGATTCATGTACTTGTACCTGTCCTGCATTACGAGAATCAGGATCTATCTTAAGGCATTGCTCATAAGCTGTAATAGCCATGGATATATTGCCAGCATCTCTGTAGAGAACCCCTGAATATATATAAAAATAATAAATTAAATATATATATATATATATTTGTATATAAAATGAAATTATTTCCCAAAAAATTTTCTGTAAGATTGCTTATATGTCAAGGAACTGATGGCATGTGCAAGGTGCCCCGGTAAGAATACAGATTTTGAAACAACATAAGACAGAAGGGAAAAACCTAAATTATTATATGCTTCGGCATAGGTGGGACAAGCAATGATAGCTTTCTCGATCATGCTAGCAGCAGCATCCATTTTACCCTAACAATAGCGAGCACCTAGTCAATCACTGTAGAGACATAGTAGAGTCTAATTGTTAGATCTATACGCAGCATCATACCTGAACTGTGTAGACAACACCAAGATTGTTCAATGACTGAGAGAAGTTTGGTTTGATCGACAAAGCCAACTGCAAGAAGATATTATAACAGGTAATGAAGACCTGGGAAGGCAGCAGAGAAAGAAGAATTAAAAATGTTATACAAGCAACAAACATATACCTGATAACACTCTACAGCTTTATCAAGGTTGTCTCTATCTTTGTATATTACTCCTAAATTGTTGCATTCTTCTGCACAATGGGGGTTGAAGTGGAAAGCAAGTTCATAGTAGACAACTGCCTACCCAAACAAAAATTGATAGTTAAATTGCTATATGATTGAAAGCAAATGCATCTCAAATAATTACTTACCATATTGAACTTCAGCATTTCACCATAAGCGACCCCGAGATTATACATGGCATCTGCATAGTGCCAATTATAAGATAATGCCTTCTTGTAATATGCCACACCTTGGTTAATGTCTCCTTCCAACTTAACCTGAAGAGACATATCACTGAATGCAAAATCAGGGATAGAAAAACTAAGTAGTTACTTATTTCAAAGAAAACACACAGTGACGTCCACGAACAAGTCAATAAGAGTAGCCCATGATGCAAGAAAAGTATGTTGAAGCATTGGTGTAGATTAAAACATAAACGGAGATTCAAAAATTATAAGTCAAAACCCATTGTGATTGTTGATTGTAGATGCATATACCAATTACTAGAAGGGCACAATTGAGCTATGTTGACATACAATCCATATGTTATTCAAATAAGTAAGAAGTGACTGAAGATAGTGTAATTTGTTTAAAAGAACAGAAACACGAACACAAGTATGTAATGAAGCATCCCCATTCTAAGCTCAAGGAAATTTGATGGATATACATAGATGGTGACAAAATCAGCAAAATCAATAGTATTATATTAATTTCATTGAGAAAATTAGATGGCAGCCTCTTTTCAGAATAAAGAGCTAAATTTCTTCAATAAAGGGTCATGCAAGAGATAGGAAAACAAGGAAAGTTGCTTAAAATAAAGAGGGATAGGAAGCACCTTTGTTCCCAAATCTGTCAAGGCAATTGCCATATTATTTTTTGCAATCTCGAAGTTAGGGGATACAGCTAGACATCTGGTTATACAACAGTCAATCAAATAGAAAATCAGTTGAGATGGAGGCACCACTCAAATACATAAACTACAATTGAGGCCCAACAGGCAACAGTTTTAAGCAAACAGCAGCAAACAACCTCTCATAACAGGCAATGACAGATTCCAAGTCACCACGGATTTTATAAATGACACCCATGTTGCAATATGCTTCAGCATACATAGGTCTCTCTAGTGCAGCCTTCTCATAGCAACTAAGGGTCGTGTCGTATTGCATCATCTCAGAGTAGACGACACCAAGGTTATAGTACGCAGGTTGTATAAATGAGTGATAATGCTATAAATATACATTCAACATAAAAACGGAAGATTAAAAAACATCACATAGTGAGAAAATGGGAACTTGAAAGACCAAGACTGCATGCATTAAAATTTTAGTTTCAACAAAGTTTAACAATGGATTGTGAAGGAGAATAGATTACAGCATAGTGTGGATCTATTTTAAGAGCTTCATAATACTTCTGAATTCCCTCCTGTGTATTGCCAGCAAGCTTTAAGCTAGTTCCAAGATCAGTTAGAACAATGGCCAGGCATTCTGCAGCCGGTTTGTATGAAGGGTCTGCACTCAAAGCTTTTTGATAAGACTGCACAAGTAACAAGTAAAGACCAAAGACTCAAATTATAAATACCCACAAATTAGTTAAAAAAATTAATGGTAAAAAATCTAATGAAAATACCTCAGCTGCTTCTACCAAACGACCTTCATAGTTGTACAGTATACCGCAGTGAGTGAGAGCACAAGCATTCTGAGGGTCCAACTTAATGGCTTCTGTAAAGCTCTCGAAGGCAGCCCTTCCCATGTTCTGCATCTGCAGGCATATCCCTTTTCCAATATAGGCTTCAACACACCCACTATCCTTCTCCAAGACGCGGTTATATAGGGAAAGAGCATCAGCAAACTTGTTCCTTGAACGAAGAATGTTAGCATATGAAAGAGAATCTTTCCCTTCAGATGCCTTTTGAGCCGGAATCGCATCAGCTGTCGAAACACTTGAACAAGGAGATGACTGTGATTCTTTTACGAAACCATTTTCTACGGCCAGGTCCCCCTCTCTCTCATTCGCATCATTCTCAGACCTGGACATCTAGGAAGAGCTATGTTCTTACGTTTCTATGCAAATATAATGAAAAACTGCAAAAATTAATCTTCAAAAGGTGGCATCTTTTAGTTTTGAACTTCAAACCAGTAATGTGAGACTTCAGCTGGCATTGTATATACCCTTGTAAGGCTTACTCTGAAGCTGGTCATATCGAACAATATATAAGTATAACAACAATAAGTTACTTTACAATCATGGTTTATAATAATTTGAAGGGGGGAATACTGCGTCTTTTTAATCACTTCAAGAACACAGATTGAAACCCTAGGTAAATCAAAAGGATCCAGGCAGCCATTCCATTTTAGAAAACTGATCAAATATCATAAACCTTAAAACCTAATAAATAAGCTAAAAGAACCACTTTAAACCCCTAAAATCATGAGCATTTAATCAAACCAAAAAAAATTCTGATTATAAAAAAGGAACTTTATAAACCCAGCATCCAAAAACCCTAACAAAACAAACATATTAGGGATTTAACACTTACTTTGAAGAAACCAAACTTTGCCCACAAACTAAAACTGCATATCTAATGTCAGAAACTACTCAAAAAAATGTAAGGATAGGTGTAGGATAAGGGAGAAAAGGTGGTGTAGTTTGAGAATAAGACTGGGTTAGTCGAGTTTAGGGGGGAAAAGGGCAAGCTTTAGATTAAGAAAAGCGGGTGCTGTTCATGGTGTATTCAAATGTTGGTAAAAATAAAATGGGAGTTTTAATGGCGGGGCACCCTCTCTTTTTTCAGACAAACAGAATAGTGGAAGAGAAGTGGCGTTGGCGCTGAATGGTGTTTTCGATGTCTCCCAAACACGGAGGGCGAGCCCATGCTAATGGGTGTAATGGGTCGGGTCCAGTCATGATTCGACATTGTATTATCGAGTACTGAGATGTATGTTAATGATGGAATTAAGTTGTAACAAAAAAAAAACTTATGAATAAGTTTGAACAATCAACTTGTTTTATTATTTGATTTCAAAAATAATCGATCTAAATTTAAGAAAAATTTAAAAAATTCTTAGCCATAATCCATAAGTTTATTTAACTGCTAATTTTATAGATGTATGTTAATATTTGTCGTGATTATTATTTTTCTTATTTTTTATATTTATGTCTTTTTATTTTTTATTGAATTGTTTAATTATTTATCTTGAAAGTAGGACTATAATATTCATTAACCAAATAAAATATCATCAATAACGTGTTGTCATATGCATACTAGATAAATACATTTATGATTATCATAAGTAAAATATAATTGTGAGTGACCTATGGCAATAAGATGAATAAGAGTGTGAATAGTTGAGACAACAACATACAAAGAATTATGATTTTTGACGTACCCAAACACTAGATATAGAGGAGAAAATTTTGAAGAATATCCATAGCGAACGAATGAAAAGTCAATCCCCCTTATATGTAGTCTCATCTAGCACATATATCTGAAAATCAACATAATATCATATACAAACGAATGAATAAATCAGGCATTAGGAAAGTGTAACCAAGAAATTTCGTAGAACTTTATATCAAGAAGAAGACCAATAGAAGAAACATGCATCGAGAGCCCAAAAGTATATAGCCATCAGGGGCAGAGCTTAGTGAGGGCCCAAAGGGGCCTCAACCCCTGTTAAAATTTGTATATTATATATAATTTTGGTCTAATAGTATTTTGGTTCATATAAAAATAAATATTTAAATTAGTTTATTGTAAGTTTAAATATGTCACACCTCAACTCAGGGGCTAAATTTTAGATATTATAAAATATTGAATTTAAGTTATATTTTGAAAGAAATTGAGGATTAAATTGTAAAATCGCAAAGTTGGCATACCATTTTAGGAAGTCTAGGAAATTCAGGGACTCAGACCTGAATTTACATATTTTTCTTATGTGTTGAATTATAAACCCCCTCCCCTGTTTGTTTTCTCATAAAATTTTTCATTTCCTCTCCCCCGATCAACTATTTTGAGCTCTGATTTCTCCACCGTCCAACCACCGTTCGTCGATCCGAAACCACCATTGTGTTCGTTGTCAATCGATGAACAAAACCCCTCAAACCTCTCGTCGTGAATCAGATTCGTTCGCCGTAAATCTCAACCGAAAGTATCGTCGGTTTTAACTCGATCACTATTTGTTTTCCGTCGATTCAAGTCGATCTGGCCACCCATTTTCGACATCTCCTGCACCATCATGTTCCTTGCATCGTTCCGAGTCCACCGGTGTCCTTCTTGTCTCTGTCGTCGCCGGCGCGTGAGGGGTGAGGAAGTTAAAGTTTTCGATGTTTTAAAATCGAGCTCTCCGCCGTTCAAAATTGTGAACCGAGCTTGGTAAGTGTCTCAAAATCCCTTAAAATAATTTTAGAAATTTTTATGCAATTTTTTTGACCTCCTAGGCCTCCGCACGCGCCCCCACGCGCCCCCCTTTGCGAGTGAGCCTTGTCTGGCAGCTTGGTGAGCCATTGAGCCGAGCCAAGCCGACTGAGCCTTTGACCATTGTCATGTACTGACCGTTGACTTTGACCAAAAAGTCAAAATTTTTGAAAAGTTATATTTTATGTTTTTCGACGTCATGAGTCTGATTTCGAAGTCTGTTTTTCCAAATTCAAACCTCGTAAGCTGTTTTCCACTGATTTATTACTCAATTCGATCCGTTTTTCGCAATTAAGCTCCGTTTTTCGCAATTAAGCTCCGTTTTTATGAAATTTATGTTGATATATAACCGAGGAATTATTGGAAGTTGATTTTAAGATCAAGGGCGTTCGAATGGAGTTTAAATGTCGATCATTATAGCATGAAAATCGAGGTAATACATTACTACCTCTTTATGCTTTATGGAACATGTTGATAATGAATAAATGCATGGATGTATATGATTGGTCTATTATGGTTGTTTGATTATGGATGGATTTGAACCGAATACGGTTTACGTGATAAATTATGAGAATATTTCAATTAGGTAAAATTATGAAAATACCCTTATGTTGTAAAAAGACAAGAATTGACCCTGTAAGTTGGATAAGAAGTTTGTAAAGACATATTGATATGATGAAACTACTAATGTGCATAGAAAATACTAGTTTTGCTTAGAAAATATGGATAACCGATTTCTAAACTCAAGATGGCTTGTACAAGATACTAGAAGTTTGATAAGGAATAATTTAAAGTTTAGAGATTATCCGAAAAAGCGATTAACCCTAAAATCTCTAAATTATAATTATCTTTCTTAAGAGTTTTAATACCAAAATTATATGATTAAGAAATTACGAAATTACCCTTGAGAGGAAAAAGTAGCATGAATTGACCTTGAATAAAAAAGTACTCAAGAAGTCATGCCTAAATCTATGAATTACTAGTTTCATCGTTAAGTTTACGCATTTATACAGAAAATTCCTGATAATCCGTAAATCTCCGAGTTATGAGTAAATACCTGAAGAATAAATTATCGATGGTGCTCTTTTGACAGAATTGTTCGAAATGACTGAAATAGATGATAAGTTTGAATTAAATAATAAGATCAGATGGAAAGAAATGATTGAAATACCCTGTATCTGTAAAATAACCAAAATACCCCTAGAATGCAAATGACCCACGAATTTCATCAAACCCAAGAAGGATTTGGTATTCTCAGTCTATGAAATGAAAGGAACAACATTGAGTACCAAAATGACCAAAATACCTTTATGGCCAAGAATAAGTAAATGTCTTGGATTCATTAAGGAATCCAAATAAGCATGGATGTTGCATTGCCCTTAAAAAGTTATGGAAAACACCTTACGTTGGCCGACAAACGCTAATGCTATGTCAGTACCTGAACGACATAGATACCACTTGAATTTTGTTCGTCTCCTCAAATTTCGATCGATGATAATTCTGGGAGTACTCAACTCTAGAGCACATTCGGCACTAAGAAGTGAATATTCGTTAGACAAATCAATCACGAATACCAAATTGAACTAAACGGAAGTCTAATATGTATCCGAAATTTAGAAACGTCTGAATTACTCTGAAAAACCCCGAAGTAACTAGAATAGACTTGACTACTAAATGAACTTAGTAACCTCAATGACTGAGGATTAAATAAGTGATTTGGATAAGTCTGAAAACTTTGATGAGTTTACATAGTGTACTATTCCTATGGGTTATGAACCACAAATCAAGTACATTGGTATCTTTTAATATCGTTGAAACGTGAAAATGAAATAATGACTATTGGAATATCTGTTCGTTCCCCTAAGATCTATTCAGTGATGATTCTGAAAAGGATCTATGGACAATAAATTTTTGGTATTAAAGAGTGAATACCCTAGAAGGGCAAGGAATTGACTTGTCAACATGCATCAGTTCTGGGAGTTGTTTGATAATTCGATCGATCAATATAAAGGATAAAATGTTCTGAATATGTGTTTCTCCTTTATCAGCTCAAATCACTCTGGTCATATCTGATTCACACAAGTAACTCAGATACAAAAGATTCTGGATACCCTAGATTGGTTGAGTAATGGAATCACTCTCCATAAATCTGAATCTAAAATTATTCAGTATAAAGGTTCCTGAACACCTTCCAGATGCGCCTAAATCATAGTGGGATTATAAAGGATCGATTTAAATGTCTGATTAGAACGACTAGTAATCGACTCCTTTCAATAGGACCTCATTCCTGGGATTTGATCAAAAGACATCAGTTTCATGTTATCCATCTTGGTAACTACCAAGTGTCTCTGAAAAATACTTAGACCCTCTAGTGTGTTCCATATGTACTACTTAATTGGTTTATCTATTTTGAATTGTGGTACACCAAAATCTATGGTTTACTGTTTTATTGATGCACCGACTTACTAGTGATGACTTATGGACTATGATTGTTATATGATTATTGGTTTTCACTGTACAACTTGTATCTTTGAGATACCGATTTTGGAAGGACTGGTATATGGAAGTACAACTCTGATCAAGCTGGTAAAACTTTACTGGCCTAATATGACTCTTGGGTAGGCTCTGCGACCCCGAGATCATTCTTGGGTAGGCCCTGCGACCTTGGGATTTTTCTTGGGTAGGCCTCGTGGCCCTGAGATCATTCTTGGGTAGGCCTTGCGGCCTTGAGATCTTTCTTGGGTAGGCCCCGTGGCCCTGAGAACTTTCTTGGGTAGGCCCATAAGCCCCAAGATGTTCCCTTAGGTTGGCTCCCTTTTTGATGTGTGCTTAGGGTAAGCCCTTATGGATGCAGTTATGGGAAACTGCATAATGGAATATGGATGAAGGGTTTCATTATGGAATTAAAATATTTATATCTTTTCATTGGTTTTAAATGAAACACACTAGACATCATATTCGATCTCCTGAAAATGTGATACTATAAATGTTTCCTATTAACTAAGATCTTCATGGTTTTTACTCGATGAACTACCAGTAGAACCCCAGAATATTCTGAAAACTGGTATAAGTATGATTCGATAAGGAAATTATATGGCTTATTATTTATTTGTATGTCATGTAACATCAACTGGTAGTATTGTATTACTGAGCTTCCTAAACCTCACTCTGTTACTCACCTTTTCGAGTTAAAAGAATCGTACCAATGCATTTATCAGCATCAGTAAGGGAGTTCTTCCGACGTTACTTGCAGAGTATGGTACATGTGATTATGGGGCATGTAGGTTGTATTTTGTTTTATATACGAGTCTGAAAATCTGTTTTATTTCTGAATATTGGTAAAGTTTACTTTTGTATTTATAAATGATTTTATGAGTTTACATGTTTTAATAAAAGTTTTAAATTTTCCGCTATTTTTACGGTGGGTCGCTCCGGTGACCTTAATGTGACACCCCAGATCGGATCGGGTTACCCGCATCGGTCTGAGGGGGTTACAAAATATTAGACAAATTAGGTGATGTCTTGTGAATTTTGAGTTTTTTTAATATAAGGTGAATACAAAGTAATAAATGTATAAAGACTCTCAACTATTTGACAATAAACGCTCATACCCCTACATACGCAGTGCTCGAACTTGATACCTCGAGGATAACAATAATCTCTTAATCACTAAAGTCACTTGGTTTATGTTGAAATTTGAGTTTAAATACCTAATAAATCTATATTTTTTAAATAGTCCAATATTTATCCCCTTTCAATATTTAGTTATAGTTTCATCCCTAATAACCATGATATTATCTACCAAGAAAAGGGTGAAAATTAAATATTATTATAAATATGATAAAAATACAACTGAAAATTAACAAAATCGAACAACAATCAACTGAAAAATGATAGGAATGACACGGAAGTAGCTAACGAAAGCCACCACCGTTGTCGTTAATGCAAAAAGAATTGTGGTAACTGCGATATAGTTTTTTTCCAAATGTTTTATGCTCCATATAAGTATTTGATGATTTTAAATTTGAAACAAAAATTATCTTTGTAACACATTTTTTATGCTATTGTGATACATTTTTTTAATTTTCACGAATTTATCCTTATAATTCTCTCTTATTTAAGGATAATATCTCTATATATGTTCAATTATTTGTATTATCAAATAATATATATATATATATATATATATCGAATTATATCAATAATAAAATTTTATCTCAAAAATTAAAAGATAAAACATTCTAAAACGCTAAAACGAATCAAAACCAACTAAAAACTTTCAATTTTAAAATAAGATTAGACCGACAAAAGAAAATTGCCTGTCTCATCTCGTACTTATATTATTGCATAAAGCCCACTGTTGATTCTCTAATCCGAAACCCGCCATAGTCAACGGGCCAGCCCAACCAGCTGAGCAGTAACCCTAAATCCCGCATAAAAGGCTATAAATACCCTCCTTCTAGCCTTCTCTTATCCATAACGCTTCCATACTCGAAAATTAGGGTTTTCATTGGCTTCTCTCGATTCATGGCTTTCAGTCATAAAATTTTGGGTTTGTCTCTTGAATGAATTTTACAAGCGCAGCCCCTTAAGATCGCCTTCCTTTTGATATCCGTGGAAGCGTTTCGAGTCATAGCTGCGCTATAATAAATACTTTAGCGTTTGTCTCTTGAGGGTTTTCCTCTTGTGATTTTCCCCTCTTTCCCGTCTGGGTTCTTTTTCTTGTGGCATCTGTTGAATTTGGATTTGTATAATCTTGTTTTCTCATGTTCTGGAACATCCTTTATGATAAATAGTTTTCATGCTGTTTTTGTTCATTTGGGGTGGTTCAATCAGGGATGGGTAAACTAAAGTGTTCAAATTCAAATTAAGATTCTGAGATGCTCTCAATCATTTCAGGTGGGAGACACTCTTATATATATATTGTATTTTTGTTTGTAAGATCTTTCTGAAATTGTTAACGGCAAGAGTGATGAATCAATTAGATGTGTGAATGTGAATTAAATATTCTTTTCTATTTCCCATTTTGAACTAAGATTTTTGAGGCATTATAATCTGTCTGACTTGCCATTGTTTTCTTCGGTATTCACCATTGTTCGTCGTAGTGTCTTTGCATTTTTCATTTTGTCCCTCAGCATATTGATTTTCCTCTTGCAGGTTTGATGGTAATGCTTCGTATTTGAGTTTGAGTTTTTGATTGCAGCAGATTCCTTTTTACATCGTCGTGGTTCCACATGGCTGGTCTGGCCACTCCGGTTAGCAGTCTGCCGCAATTCCCAAACGATGTTCGAGTTCTACACCACCGATGCTAAAGTAGTCTGCCAACTGCCAAGTTCCTCACTGTCGTTGGCTTCTAGTGATCACTAAATTCTAATTTATTACGTAGATGCTTGTATATTTAATTGAACAACTTATAAGTTTGGCAACAAAAATTGTTTCCAAGGATGGATTCAAACCTCATTATGTATTATATTGCTTTGCTTCAATCTCCTATTTTCTTTTTACGAATTAAATAATCTCCGTGATGAATATTTTCTAATTTGAGCATTATTGATATCAGTGATATAAATGTTTATTAATAAGAATTTGAGAGTTATTTTTAAATATATTACTTAGTATTTACTCTAAATTAATAAAAAAATATTTTAATTATATTGAAATTCTTGAACTGTTAAAATATTATAATTAAATATTTTATCTTTTTCACCCAATTAAATTTTGAACTGTAAAGTTAGATTAATTAAATTATTTGATCAATTAATAATTAATTTTTTATTACTTTTTGAGGTATTACTATTCGTCACATATTATCTGTCATGTTAATATATTTATTTTTAAAGAAAATTTGTATAAATTGTTATTACGATTCTAAGATAAATTTAGAAAGTTATTTTAAAATAATAAGTTTTTAGAAATATTGTTCGATAATATTGTAATTAACATGTGACACTAAATGATTCAAAAGAAAAAAAAAAGTTTTAATCGTCAAACATTGATTAAATGAATGAATTAAAAATTATTTATTAAATGAATTAATTAATAAAATTTTGAAATATAAAATATACAATATAACTAAATAGAAAAATAGATTATTTTCCCCCAAAATTTGAGGACTTTTAAAACCTTCAACCTTGTATTTTCTTCTAAGTCCATGACGCATATAAAAATATATATTTGTAATTGTTTATAAAAAGAGTTGAAAATCAAGGTAAAAAGTGATTTTTATTTTTTATTTGAAATTACCTTTTTGAACATGTTGATTTTTTCTGATTTTTAATATATAACAAGGGATAGACAATCTATCTGAGTTTGAGTTTTGACTTTAACTTGAGTATAGGTTATTTTGTTTGAAAATACACTTAAGGTAATAATATAATTATTTTTTTAAATTTTTAAATAATTACAATAATTTTATTTTTTAATTAAATATATATCTTATTTAATAAAAAATGAAAAAATTTATATATATATATATTTTGTGTTGGGATTGATATATGTTTTTACTTAAAAATCGATTTGGATTGAATATTCCTAAACTTGATCGAATTGAGTGACTGATGAAAGAGTGTAATAATACTCAAGTCGAGTTAAGATGGACAAAAATACAACCTTGTTCGATCCTATCCATAATAGTGATTTTTATTTAAAAAATATAGTTTGAAAAGGACGCATTTACCCCGATATTAATATAAGACATAGAGGTCAATTTCGTCTTTTAATCAACGCGGCCATCAAATTCCAAAACCCTAACTATAAATCAATAGTAAATGATTTCATTGCCTCAGTTCGATAGCTAGAATCGTCCTCAGTAAAAGCGCTCTAAGAAAACCCTAACTTAACAAGCCATGGTAAGCATCTATTTACATCTATTACGATTATTCCTCGTTAAGCTAAATCTTGTTTTGTAGCTGAGAAAAAAAGGATCATGTTTTTGGTACATTAAATTGAACAAAAAGTGGGATTTTCCGGTTCAAATGTAAAAATATAATGAACTCTGAATTTCCTTTTACTTCTTTAAATTACGAATTAGAGTCATTCTCTAATTGTATTAGATTTAATATTGCATTTCTTGCTGAAGGTTATTTTTGAGATTGAATTGGAACATTGGGGCTTTTTTTTTAGTTTTACTAGTATAAGCCGTATTTATTGATTTAGGGTTAGATAGCATATCCAAGGAATTCATGGATTTGTGGTATCTTGTAGTCGAGGAGAAAGGTCAGAGAGCCGAAGGAGGAGAACACTGCCCTTGGGCCTGCCGTACGAGAAGGCGAGCATGTTTTTGGTGTGGCTCATATTTTTGCTTCGTTTAACGACACATTCATAGTAAGCTATATGGCTCTGTTTACATTGGTCTTCTTTCTTTTTTCCTTGTTCTTTATGTTTAAAGTGCCATCACTGAATTTACAGCATGTGACTGATTTGTCGGGAAGGGAAACCATGGTTCGCATCACAGGTAAGGTTTTACGCTGAGAACGTTTGTTGCCATTTTTGAACTTGTTTTGTCAACTGCCCAACTCCAATCATTTTCCAACGTACACTGACTAATAGTTCAAATGGCATTTGGACTCCATGAATTATTAATTAAGCTGTGCAACATACTTTCATGTTCATGTGCCGGTCTAGAGTTATTTTAGCGGGGAGTAATTCTTCAACTTATTTATTCCATAGGTGGTATGAAGGTGAAAGCCGATAGAGATGAGTCATCCCCTTATGCAGCCATGCTTGCAGCACAAGATGTTTCTCAACGCTGCAAGGTTTTATTAGCTTACCCTGGAAATTCTTGTGAAATATACTGTAAGTGCAGTGAAAATATTTGTATTCATTATTTTTTTATCTCCAGGAATTGGGTATTACTGCCCTTCATATAAAGCTCCGAGCTACAGGAGGTAACAAGACAAAAACACCTGGTCCTGGTGCCCAGTCTGCACTTAGAGCTCTTGCTCGTTCTGGCATGAAAATTGGTCGCATAGGTACAGTTCTATCATCTTATTTCTCCCACTTTATCACGTTGATTCGTTTCAATTCTTGTAAACTGACATTTATCGTTTTCTTTACCTTAGAGGATGTTACCCCTATTCCAACAGACAGTACCCGAAGAAAGGGTGGCAGACGTGGAAGACGGCTGTGAATTGTTGCTTCATATCTATGTTACTCGGCAGCTGCCCTCGTCTGCTGCAGTGCCTGGAGTTCTCTTTCTTTGTTGAACAATTTTGATTTGAGATTCTAGCTTCTTGCACGTTTATAGTTCCGTAATGGATTTTGATCTTTAAACGATACATAAAAAAGTTGTGGAACTCTTGAATCTATCTTGGAAATTAAGCTTTTATTTTTGATGTAAGCTTTTAAAATATGAGACTAAGGGTGTGAACAGAAGAACACCTATGCTTGCAAATCGTATTTGATTAAGTAATGATCAATACGAGAATCAAATTCGAGTACTATAATATCTAACTTGAATGACTTTCGAGTCTAATTGTGCTTTTCAATCATAATATATTATTGAATACGATACAACTTGATGGAACTTGAGTTTGAGCTTGGTGTAAAAATTGGTAAATAAGCTTAAATAGTTTGATTGTGTTGAGTCGAGTTTTAAGTTTTGAATTTTTGAAGAAAGTATATCGCTATTCAAAGTTTGACATGATTTAAATATGGATAAGACTAGCATTTGAATAAAAAAAATATAAATATATTTTTGAGTTTAAAATGTTTTTTAATCCATATCATTGATGTAATAGAATCTAATTGAAAGTAAAATGAAAATGTTATTTTGTATTTCATTCGTGGAGGAGAAAACAGAGTGACGGCAAAAGATGCAGATATTCGTGAAAACCTTAACCGGAAAAACCATAACTCTCGAGGTCGAGAGCAGCGACACCATTGATATTGTCAAAGCCAAGATTCAGGACAAAGAGGGTAACTTTCTCCCATTTCTTCTCTTTTTTTCTTCTTCAAAATTTTTAAACCTCTCTTTTAGAAGCACGAATTGATCATTTTACATATTTTTTAAACTTTGATGAACCAGCAGGAATTCCACCGGACCAACAACGTCTGATTTTGCCGGAAAACAGCTTGAAGATGACAGTACCTTGGCTGATTACAACATTCAGAAAGGTTTCTGTTCGTTTTTTTTAAATTTTAGTAATATTTCTGTGTTTTTGATTTGATTGTGTTACTTAATTGAGTTTTATCTTTTCTGGGTTTTTGTTTATGTCGACGTAGAATCAACGCTTCATCTTGTTCTGAGGTTGAGGGGTGGAATTATTGAGCCTTCTTTAATGGCGTTGGCTCGTAAATACAAATAAGACAAAATGATTTGCCGCAAGTAAGCTCCTTTTTCATTTCTATGATTTATACTGTGTGCATTCTTTAGTTTTTGTTAAGGCAAGACCTGGATACATTGAACAATGAACACAGTACTATACACGAACACGGTAACCGAAAATGATAACTAAAACACTAACATGACATGAATACACAAGTTGACACGAAAATGGTAATTTTAAGGGAACCTGTCGATATCGTATACAGCACAACAATTACACATGTGAAAGAATAATAAACTACAAAGATGACATGAAACACTAACATGACATGAACACAGCATGATTATATGCACAAGAATAACTGAAACACGAGTGTGACATGAAATATTCTAACATGATATGAATAGACAAACAGGCATATATGTTAGGTGCACTTTGCTTAGCCTCTAATGTTTGTTGAAACGGGATGTAGGCCATACGAGGTCAGGAAAGTGAATGTTAAACCATTCCTCAACTTTGTCAGCTTGTCTAATTTTGTTGGCACTTGATTTTCATGAATTGCACGGTAAAAAGTTCCAAGCATTTTTTCCATTTGTTTTTGTATTTGGTATATATTAACAACGGGACTACAAGTTGAACCCTCTTTTGAAATAAAAGGATGAAAAATAGGGCATCCTAGTTCCCAATATGAATATTTCCATTCGTTTTTTTGTCAACTGATATATATCTTAATTGCAGTTGATTTTCGAGGGTGGGACATGATAATGCTTTGCTTGTTTTTAAGATTTGTTCTATCTCTAATTGTTTTGGGACTTGATTTAGAAACCCTTTGTGCACTGTGAGGTGTTTTTGTGGAGATTGATGCTTATCTTTTATAATCATAGAATTTGAGCGAATGATATAAACTTGAAGGGTCTAGTGACGAGAATTACCTACTAGTTGCACTGATTGTTGCTTTGCTCTATTTTCTTAATAGATGGCAAAGCAAACCCAAACTAGGACGCTCAAGGGAATCCGGATCACCCTAAATCTGATTTGACCAAAAGCCAAAATACCCAACCCGAAATGCAGACTTGCACTGTGAATCATTGAAGTTGATGCATCTCATTTTTTGTTTGCTAGGTGTTATGCTCGGCTGCATCCTAGAGCTGTGAACTGTCGCAAGAAGAAATGTGGTCGTAGCAACCAGGTTTGTATGCATGCTCTGTATTTTCGGTTCTACTTGGATGCAGGGTACTAAATATTGATCTTTTTTGCAGTTGAGGCCAAAGAAGAAGATCAAGTAAACCATGACTATGGTGGTTATTTCATTTGCTTCAAAGAACTTAAATACAAGACTTGTAAAAAAAATTCCATTTGGCTCTTTGCTTTTCTATTTTTCTTTGAAATTTAATATCTTGATATCGCAGTTGAAAATTTTGAGTTATAATTGAGGGTAATATATACACTTTTGACTATGTTGGCCAGTTTTCCTTTATGGATTGCAATAATTCAAAGTTCTTCATTGGAAAATATTGAGTTGTGATCTCAATTAAACAAATTTATCATACAACATACTTTAATCATAATGTACCAAAGAAACATAAGTAGATCATTTGTACATATAACTTGTTTCAATCTTCAAGAATTCGCCTTGCTTTTAACTGTACAGCCACTTAAGTCCTTGTGGGACTCATTAAATTTATCATCCATCAACGGCAACTTTATGGCAGCCAACCTAGGTAATGTCGCTTCCTTTCCAAATAAAATACCTCTCCCTCAGGAGCCCCTTCAAGCTCTCCTTTGGAGAGAGACTTGGCTTTCACACCGGCTTCGATGATCGTCTTTTTTCACCGACCCTACTAAAGTAGAAGAGATGAATTCTCACTTTTCCGTCGTCTATAAATTTCCTTCAATAATCACCTCGTTATATTCTTTTATATCATTCATTAGTTATATATTAACAGTCCTCTATAAGACATCTTGATGTAAATAGTTAATATAAATTTAATGAATTTTCATTAAATATTACACAAAAAGTAGACTTATGAAGTTGGGTTTAAGAGCATAAATTACATTGGGAATGCAATCCTTGATCATGGAATTGGCATGGATCATAAAACGACAATTGCATCGGAATCAATATAACAACAATTTTAAAGCATTAATAAAAGCATCGAAACAACAGGCTGCTTTGTCTAGTGGTTTGATTTTTTGCTTCGGGTGCGAGAGGTCGCGAGTTCAATTCTCGGAGCACCCCTCTTTTTTCTGGAATTAAGTCCTTTCTGTCGCGGAATACGGTTATCGGATAGAGCAAAATTACAACTGATAATTTGAGAAAATAAAGATTAAGATAAAGAATACACAAATTTTATGTGGGAAACCCCTAAATAATATAGGGTAAAAACCACAGGTAGGACTGATACTGCTAGGACTCATACTGGAAGATAATTTGAAGTTAATAGGAAGAGGGGTAGAAATTGGCTTACAATCTTGCATGTTGAATCATGACAAGATCTTTTTCAAGTAATTCTTTTGTGAAAGCAAAATCTTCCTATTACTTCTGTCTCGGTGAATTTGCATCTCTAGAATCTTGTTTGCTGATCCCAGGTCATTCATTTCAAATTCCCTAGCCAGTTGTTCCTTCAATTCTTCAATATGATCTTTGTTGGGTCCTGTAACCAACATGTCATCCACATACAACAACAATATAACAAAATCGTTATCACCAAACCTCTTGAAATAAGCACAAGGGTCTGCATTAAGTCCGTTGTATCCAAGGCACATAATGAAGTAATCAAATCTCTTATACCAACACCTCAGCGCCTGCTTTAGACCGTACAGAGATTTGTTCAACCTGCAAACCAAGTTCTTCTTTTCTTTTTCTTCAAAACCTTCAAGCTGGAACATATAAATCTTTTTTTCAAGATTTCCATGAAGAAAAGTTTTTTTAACATCTAGTTGCTCTAGATGTAAGTTCAAAGTAGCACACATTATCAAAACTACTCGAACTGTTGTTAGTCGAACCACAGGAGAAAAGATTTCATTGAAATCAATACCTTGTTTTTTAGCATATCCTTTGACCATCAGTCTTTCACGATACCTCTCAACTTGTTTGTCACCATTTTGCTTGATTTTAAAGACCCATTTGTTACCAATTGGCTTCTTTCATTGTGGTAATGGCACAATGTCTCATGTATTATTTTTATGAAGGGCTTCAATTTCTTCTTGCATCGCCATCATCCACAGTGAAGCATCTGAGTTGTTTATTATCTCCTGGTATGTTGATGGCTCACCGTCCTCTGTTAAAAGACAATATGCAATATTTCCTTCTATACCAAATGGGATGTCTTCTCACACGATCTGATTGACGAGTTGTTGGAGCTTCAGAACTCTATGGTTCTTGTTCATCATGTGTTGGTTCTGCTTCAGAAGAATCTTCTTGTTCAAACTCCTTTTCCATATGTATTTGTGTAGTCTCTGACTTTCCAGTGCTATCATTGTCTTCTTTTCTTTGTAATTTGTCTTCTACAAATATAACATCCCTGCTGATGATCACTTTGCGGGTAGTGGGATCCCACAAGCGATACCCCTTTACTTCATCAGCATACCCCAACAATTTGCATTTCCTGGATTTTGGATCCAACTTTGAAATTTCTTGGCAGTTGTACATCACGTACACTATACTTCCAAATACATGGAGGTTTGAATAATCAGCTGGTTTACCAGTCCACATCTCCATTGGTATCTTCAGCTCTATTGCAGTTGATGGAGATCGATTCACCAAATAATAGGCGGTATTGACTTCTTCTGCCCAAAATGATTTTTCTAGGCTTGCAGCTCTCAACATTGCTCTTGTTCTTTTTAACAAGGTTCTGTTCACCAACTCTGCCACTCCATTTTGTTGTGGAGTGTTCGCCACTGTGAACTGTCTTTTGATGCCTTCTTTTATGCAAAAGTCATCAAATTCTTCACTTGTGTATTCTCCTCCATTATCTGTTCTGAAACAGTTGATCTTATTTCCAGAATCAAGTTTCACCCGCGCTTTGAAGTTTTTGAAAGTTGAAAACACATCTGACTTCTTCTTAATATGGTACACCCAACATTTCCTGGAATAGTCATCAATAAAAGAGACAAAGTATTTTGCTCTGCCTAGGGATGTAACTGGTGCTTGCCATACGTCAGAATAAACCAATTCTAGAACACTTTTGCCTCTAGAATTTGACGTGTTGAATTTCAACTGGTGATGCTTACTTGTTATGCAATGCTCACACAAAGTAAGTGGTACATTTGTTAAGCCTGGAAGTAGCTTTTGCTCCACAAGGACTTTCATTCCTTGTTCTGACATGTGTCCAAGTTTCTGTGCCATAGCATTGCAGAATCTGAACTACATGAGGCAACAGAGGCCTTTGCTTCTAGCAAAGTCTCTCCCTTAAGCATGTACAAGTTTGTTGCTATCTTTTCGCCTTTCATCACCACAAGCGCTCCACGGAACACCTTCATGATTCATTTATATGTTTCAATCTTGCTTGCATTATTATCCAACAATCCGTAGGATAATAATTTTTTTTCAGGCCTTTCACGTGCCGCACATATCGAACAACTTTAATTATTCAATCAAGCATCTTCAATTTGATGGTTCCAACGCCAACGATCTCTAAGATATGATTATTGCAATTATACACAGATCCTTCTGAGACAAGTTCATAATGATGAAACCATTATCTTCTTGTGGTCATGTGATATATTACTCCCAAATCAATGAGCAATATATCTGGAAATCTTTTTCTGCCTTCCATGGCGGTTGACACTTTACAACATAGAGCATATCCATAATTTGAAGTGTTTGCAATATTGCCTTGTGGATTGTAGTTTTTATTTAGACTACAACAATCCTTCTTCAAGTGACCCTTATTTCCATAGTTGTAGCACTTTAAATTCTTCTTGCTTCTTGACTTTGATCTACTATATTTGTGGCTGCTGCTTTAGCCACGTTCCGTTGATCTCCCTCTCATTGTTGTCAACGTTTCTACTTGTTGCAGATTTACTTGTCTGTCTTCCTTGTTCTTACGCCGATTTTCTTCTTGTAGAACAACAGCTGCAACGTCATCGAAGACTAGACTGGTGACATTACTGTTTGTCAAGTTGATGATGAGTTTATCATACGAATCAAGTAGACTTTGAAGTAGAAGTTCAACACATTCTTGTTCTCCTATTGTACATCTTAGGGATGTAAGCTGAGAAAATAAAATGTTCAGTGTGTTTAAGTGCTCCGTCACTGAAGTAGATTCTGGCATCCGAAGAGTGTACAATTTTCTCTTAAGGAAAATTTTATTGTACAACGATGTGGTCTCGTACAATTTGGTGAGATGATCTCATATCTCCTTAGTTGTCTTCTTCTCCTTGATGTTTGACAATACTTCATATGCTAATGCTAGATGAAAGTTTGTCATAGCATTCCCGTCCATTTCGATCCATTTGTTGACATCTATGAAAACTACCAACCTTTCACTGATAGCTGTTAGACAACCGTCATTCCTCAAGATGACCTTCATCTTCAATTTCCACAATGAGAAATTTCTCCCATTAAAATTTTCAATATCAAATTTCGTTGTCATAACTTATTTTACGGATAGCTCCCACTATTTCACTATCGTGAATAGTTATCTAGAACCTTCAAAGAATGGGTAATAATACCTTCTTACTTTCTTATGTTGGAGGATCCATTTTTTGGTGGCAACCACAAAGATAATAAGTAGATATTACACACTCAAATCTGGCTCTGATATCAATTGTCGCGAAATACGACTATCGGATATAGAAAAATCGCAACTGATAATTTGAGAAAATAAAGATAAAGATAAAGAAGAAACAAATTTTATGTGAAAACCCCCGAAATAATATAGGGTAAAAACCACAAGCAACGGTAGAAGAATTTCACTATGAGAAAATAGGAATTACAATTTCTGTCGATTTAACAAGGAGAAAAAAATGACAATTCTCTCTTAATAAAAAAGAGAAAACAACTCTCAAGAAAACTCTCTAAATTATCTAGTATTGAGAGAAATCTAGAATGATTTGGATGATTTTGAAGCTAAATGAGTTAGGGTATTTATAGTTAAAGCTTAAGGATTAATCTTATAAACACCCTAAATTGTAGGGACTAAATTTAAGATTTTACCTTTGCCTAATTTTCAACAATTAACACCCCTTTCGGTGCCCCCATTTTTGACTTCATATCTTTGCATTTTCGATGCATAATCAATCCAATTTTCAACACTTTCGCCCCTGTGATTTTATAATGGATTTTTAAATTTCAATCCAATATTTAAATGTTATTTACAAATTCAAAAAAAATTAAAATGTTACAAATTAACTTTAATTATTTAAAATTAATAGGTCTAATGATAATTTTAGGCCAAACTTATTTTAGTTCTTATCTTTTTAATATCTTTTGACTCTAGAATATTCAAAAAAAAATTGTGTTTCTATTAATCCTCAAATATCAATAACTTTATATTTTACACAAAAATAAATAAATAAAAATTTAAAATATAAAAAAAATATTTGAGTTAAAATCATAAAAATATAAAAAATCACAACAACAAAAAATTAACGTCAATTTAAGAAGCTTGTTACTTTTTCTATTAATTGATTGATTTTAGTGAAAAAATAAAAATTCAGGGTCAAAGGAGATAAAAGGAATTTAAGGAGTAAAATGATTTTTCAGAAAAGTTTTGACAGCCAAAATATCATTAGGTCAGTTATAAAACTTACGACTAAGTTGTTGAAATTAAAAGGAGTTACCAATTTCCGGTTGAAAGCAACGATTGGGACTTGTTATTCGGTTCGTTACTATGGTGCTTATTGGATCCAACGAAATGGATGGATATTTGGACCAGAGTACCAAGAAGTAGAAGGGACTCTAAGAAGGGGAAAACGCCTTCAAATGGAAGCGGCCTAAGGTAACTGTAGGCCTAGAACCATACATGATTCATCATGGAAGCCTCCACTGGCGGGGTACCTGAAACTTAACAGCGATGGAGGCCTAAACACAGCAACTGGCCTTGCAGTATGCGGTGTCATTAGAGATGAGGCCGAAACACATCAACTCACTCCTTTCCATTCTACATCAAAACACTCCAACGGAGAGCAAAAATGGTGTGGACATTACCTTTCGGCCTTCACTCTTTCTCACTGCCACCTGCAGAGATGACTACGTTGCTGCATGAAGATAGATGCAATGCTCAAATAGTTGAGCAGTAGTTTAGTGATGTTTTACTTCTCTCTTATTAAAAAAAAAAAGAAGGTAAAATACATATTTTACAGAAATTGTCGTTTTAAACAGGGCGCGCAATGCTCACACGCTGCTTTTCCCTCCATAATTTCATTTTGCCGCCATCAAGACCTCACTCTCGCTTTTCAAAGCCTTATTCTATTTATTATAAATCCTAAAATTCAGAACAAAAGGAAAGAAAAATTCTCATCTCTAAATCAGGTAATTTTTCTACACTGCACTCTGTTTGTTTTATGAGAAAATAAATGAAACCTCTTCTGAAATTTCATTTTTCTTTCAGATTTATCATCAATTAACTGTTCACGGTCATCAACTCTCACTAAACCTCACTACAAGTTTGATTCGGTACGTTCTACATCAGGTTTAAGTGAACTATAACGCACGGTTGATTAGTATTTATTTAATTTTCATTTCCTGGAAATGACTGTGAAATGAGTAGATCCGACTGAATTAACAAACTGTTAATTAGTTTGGCCTTCGATAATCTTGCTGACTATTCCTTTATGTTTCTCGTCTTAGATTTTCAAATGATCGTAATATGATAGGAGGCTAGATTGTTGATTGTGCTGGGATTTTCCCTATTAGGTTTGAATTTTGATGTAATTAGTGATAACAATTGGGTCAAGCTCCATTTTGAATCTACGTGTTTAGCTTTTTGGATTTACTGGAACAACTTTGTTGGAAATTGCTCTTGATATTGGTGAAATGATTTTTTTTGATGTTTTCGTATTTGTCATGCAAGATATGGATATTTCAAGCCCTGCAGCTTTTGTTAATGGAGGATTGCTACGGATGCACTTGGGACGTAAGGTGCGAACTGTGCTTCAGGTTACCCAGTCTGATATCGCATCTGTGATGGGAAAGTCTACGGATGGTTACCAGCTTGTTGCAAAAGGATCTCCACCTGTTCCTCTTACAAGTTATGTTGAGGTTGTTGGTGTTGCTGAAAATGAAAATACCATCCGAGCTGAATTATGGACCAACTTCGGTGACACATTTGGTATGCTTTTCTTCTCCATATGAAAATCTTGATCTATTTTAACAGTGCATATGTCACAATTTTTACATAGATTACTGCATTTTAGGCTACTGGGTATCACAACTACATGGAATTTCAGTTTGATTTTAGTACAATCACTTCTACATGTTTTTATAGATAATTTATTGAGGCAGCTGAATCAAAACAGTAATTGATAAATGTCTCTGATTTGCTTTTGGAAAACACTTTTCTGTTTTCACAATTTTGATGAGATTTGTTAACCATTGAGGATATAAGAAGAACAATGTGGTTGACTTGCACTGAAGATAAGTGCTGGCTGATTAACACGATGTGTCAATACCCGCTGACTGAAAAGATGCTGTTATTCTTTTTGGGTGTCCATCCGCCATTCGAGGTTTTGTCACTCGAAGGTGCGTCTCCTGAAGTTTGAACCCAAAATATCCCAATGGACTCTTGTATGTAGGGCGTCTTGGGTTCAAACTTGTGTTCACGATGCGTGATGAAATTGTATATCAAGTGTTCATTGCATGCCATATGTGATTGTTTTATAACTAAAATTATATATTGCCTTGGGTCCGTCTGAATTTCGAGCTATATCACTTAGCCTTTGAAGCCATATTCCTTGACATCTCTCCTGGCATTTTTAATAATGGCAGATGCATCCAGCTATGACCAACTCTGTCAGCTAGCAAATGGAGAGTTCAAACAACTGTTCCTCTAGTTTGCGCATTTTCTTTATCAAAAGAAAGCTTCTAGGTAAACAATCTACTAGGCACTATACGTCCATATAAATAGGTAGAATTTTATATGATAGAATATGCTCATTCTAGTTGTTTGATACTTCATGTAGAAGTCTCCTTGTATTGTTTGTTTTCGAGTAGCTATATTTCAGTATTCGACATTTTATGTACTTGTATTTCGTATGGAAGTATCCTCTGGTTCTATAACGTTTATGATTCGACCTCAAGCTGTCCTTCAACATTTGTCATTGCAATAATTTGTAAGGTGGTTAAATATTTGATGTGGGTTTTTTCTTGGTTAAAAATTCAAATGAGGGTCTAAATTTTTAGTATGTTCGGGTAAGAATTTAAATAGTCAAATAAAGATCTAAGGTTTTTGAATTTATTCAAATGAAGATCTGTTTTTTGAAAAAACAATATAGTGAGTACACAGGTTAACTTAAATGAGGGTCTAATGCTTTTTACAACATATTTTTCTTTATTCAAACCATATATATTTTCGTTCAGTTCTGTGTTGTTATTGGTGTCCGACACTCGTAACCGAACCATATGCAAACGTGGGTATTGCCGATCGACACTCATATCCGAATCATATACAAACATGGGTATTGGTGTCTGACTATCCGAAACATATACTGATTAGATCACAGTGAATAATCTCATCTCTGCATTTCTCAAGACTCAGTTCTACTTCTATACAAGTTACTTATAACATTCACTAACCTGAACTTCAAGGAATTTACTCGGCTTATTGAAAAAAAGTAGAGATGGTTGTTCAAGCTCCAGGATAGCGTGATCGTCCTTTCTTCTTCAGGAACTCTGGGATGTCGAATGAACTGCCTTTGTTGAAAGAAGGTCGATTGATTCCAAGGCCGGTATCTCCCTGTGCTACCTGGCCTGCCTGCATTTTTAACTGGAGTTCAGTATATATACAAATGAGAGATGAAGAAAGAGAGTTGAGGCATACCTGAAGGGGCCTTCCTTCGCTTTCTTCTTGACGTTTAAATCCCGTTGCAATTAGGGTTATACTTACCTAAATAAAGACCCAAAAATGATTTGTCATCAAATTAATGTTTCATATTGAGAACCGTGAATTTTGCAGTACGCTAAGACCAGTACATGGATATGGATGTATGGTTTTTTTCATGTAGAAAACTTTGAAATAAATTAAACATATAAGTTTATCCATCCGACACTCAAGATGCAGGGGACTTTCAAGATCAACTCGACAGCTATTCTAACTGTCCATGAGAATTCTGCATCTAAATTTCATTCTCATAGCTAGATATGTCTGAGACACTTATCACGTAAATACAAATTGGATACAGGAGAATCATCCCCTGACGTAAATGCAAAGGCATCTCTAATCGGACCAATATGTAGCCTTGACATTAAAGTTCATTCATAAGGCTATCGATTGCAGGTATTAATCCTACGTTTTAGAATGTTTAGTTCATAGAATGTTATCAAATACCCTAGCTTAAAACTACAGGAAGCAGGTCTACTCAACATATGTTGATCGAAATAGGTATTCGCATAACCATTTGTGAGTCGACTTTGGCTTGAGTACGAAAGAGACAAAATTAACTTACTTGGCCAATAAGTGATGGATCAATCACTGCTCCAAATATCAAATTGGCAGTTGGATCCACGAGATCATATATAACCTCGGCTGCAGTATTAACCTACAGAAAATTATTGGATATCAAATCATGTGTGTTGAAACAACCAAAACATTCAAGATAATCAAGAGCTCCATTGAATAGTATTTGAGATATGGTGCGACTGCTTGGGTTTCAATAACTCTTCTCCTATCGGGAAGGGCTCCACTTACATATAACCAACAATTTTGTGCCCAAATTCGAGATTATATATATATATGAAGTTAAATCCCCCCCTCCTGATCCGCGACAAAACACACACAGATTGTTAAGAGACGGAGTGGTACCTCAAACAAGGTTAAATCAGTTCCACCAGTAATGTTCCACACAATACCAGTAGCTCTTTCTATACCAAGATCTAACAAAGGTGATTGGATAGCATTTAGTGCAGCATCTCTAGCCCGTGTTTTCCCTGCAAACCAGAAACAAACAATTACAACAGAATAACCAGTTCGGAACCGAGTTTTCAACTTCTAAATTAGAATAGATAAACTACAGTCAGATGGTCGAAAAATAAAATAAAGACCGAGGTATGAACTTTATGCATTCAAAGTCCAAGCGTCGAATGTAAATGCTAACGATCTCTTTGATTACCAGTTGCAGTTCCGATCCCCATCAGTGAAGAACCTGCATTTGCCATTATAGTTCGCACATCTGCAAAATCCACATTGACTAGCCCAGGAATCTGCAATGCAGAAACACACAACCGAATTAGAGTGCAGAAGTATGGTGTGAACCCTGAAGCTCGTAATGCTTCGAGGTTTAACTGCCCAAAACATTACACATATGAACAGGTAGTCACTCTGATATACTGATTTTTGTAAAGCTCCAGGGTTCCATTCTATAGTTCTGGAATCAATGGATTTGGTGGTACCAAGGTTTATGACCAATGTTATCCGGACTAAATAACACACCGAGTATAGAGCATACTTGATAACAAATCATAGATTTAGCAGCACCGATGAGTATGACCAAAGCTATTATTAATCAGAAAATGGTGCTAGATATTTCATCAAAAAGTGCATCCACAAGTATTAGATGGGTAAAGAGTATACCAGTTTTACCACCCAAAGCCTAAGAATACAAGTATCTTGGAGCATTCCTTAATCCATACCGTAATTATATCAGAGATGCCACGAACACCTTGACGAAGAACATCATCAGCAAGATTAAAGGCTTCAGTTACTGGAGTAGATGGTGAAACTGCAGTTAACAATTTGTCATTTGGGATAACAATTAGTGTGTCAACATTTTCTCTCAGAGCCGCAATTCCTTCCTGTGCTTGAACAGCCCTCCTTCTTCCCTCAAAAGAAAAAGGGGTGGTGACAATACCGATAGTTAATATACCCATGGACTTTGCAACCCCTGCAATTACTGGAGCTCCACCAGTTCCAGTCCCTCCACCCATTCCAGCCTGTAAATGCAAGCTCAAAGTCCAAGGTAAAAATGTTAAAGAAAGATACTAGAACACAAAAGAAAGATAAAATCTTACATGCTCATTCTAATTCTTAACTCAGAAAACATCAATCTATAAGAATGCCACATGCAATCGTACCAGAACAAAAGGTTTCACAAATGGCAATTTCGATAATAAAAGTAACAGGAGCAAGAATGAATCATGAGTGAAATTAGTTCATGAACCATCAAAGTATAAGACAAATCAAACTCTAGGAAACAGTATGATCAGATATAACGATGTTTAGCAAGTAATAACAAGTTTGCGAATTGTGATTGCAGACATAAGACATGACTTTTACCACTCGTTCCTATAGACTTTGCACATAACTCATTAACCATTAGTTGAATGAAAAAGTTTCATGAAGCATGAATTCTCGTATCTGTAGCCAGACTAGTTGTGTTTATCATATGACCAATGAATATTCACTATAAATCGGAAGCTTGAAAGATTTTCTTTGACGGATATTCCAAAAAGAAAAACTAAAACCAGAGATAATTTGGGTTGAAATCACTCACGAAATCAGTATAGTAACGGTACACATCATAATCGAAATTCTACCTAAATGATCTAGGAAGGGAACTTACAGTAACAAAAACCATATCAGCACCATAAAGTGCCCCTTCTATTGACTCCTTGCTTTCTTTGGCAGCATTCATCCCAATCTCCGGGTTTCCACCCGCACCAAGACCCCGAGTCAGCTCCTGACCAATTTGCAAACGGTTTCCAGAAAAGACAGGTGACAGTTTCAGGGCTTGAACATCAGTGTTAACAATCCAGAACTCGACACCCTTCAATGCACTCTCTATCATGCGGTTAACAGCATTTGACCCACCACCTCCAACACCAATTACTTTGATCTTGGCTTCATTGTAATTACTTGAACCAGACACATCTTCTAAGCTTTCAGGACTAGAGCTATCTTTTCCCGGGCTGGTGATTATAGGGTTCCCTTCCCCCCTAAGCATTGAAACTTCTGGATGCATATGCAGAAAAGGGTCCTTATTTTGGTACGGACTGACACTTTTAGAGTTGGATGAACATCTAAAATGAGCAATGGTAGACCTTTGGCTCGAACTCAAAGACCCACTTTTCCCATCACACATTTTAAGGCAGCTAAGTTTTCCTAAAGGGTTCTCCTTTAACACCCTCCCTCCAAGAACATTAAGTACCCCCATTGATCTAGCATCTGCAGGTCTAAAATAAGGCGATATCGATATAGCATTCGCCATTTTACCACCACCAGTAAGAAATCAGATCTTACTTCAGCTATGACTCTATGACACAAACCAGAAAACTAATCCTAAACAGCTTCAATTTCGAGTTTCAAAATCGAAGTTTTCGTTTAAACCTGCATAAAACACACAATCAAGCCAAAACTACATTAAAAAGGATTTAGAAATTGACCCATTAGCTCAAGCACGATCGTTACTCACTTAGAAGCAACACCTTAAAACTAAAAAAAAAAAACTCAAACCCAAAGATAAATGCTGAAACTGCAATACTTTTTCTAGATTGAACAGCTCAATGATCTTCTAAATGTAAAGAATAACATCAAACAAATTGCAGCTAAAACCCAGAAATAGGAAAATGACAAAAATGCAAATGGAATTGAAAAAAAAATGGCATCCGGGTTTCGTTTGAGAAAGAGGAAAAGAGAAAACCTGAAAGAAATGCAGAGTCAAAGATAACAGAGACAAGAAAGTTCGGGCTGGAAATTGGAGAGATGTGGAAGGGGGTGGTTTTGGCTATGTGAATCAGTTTGTCAGGTTGCAGTTGATAGGAAAAAAGACAACAATTAAAACCGGATTTACGAATAGTATTCCAGGGTTTAACCGGGTGTGAATTTATGGCCCTTTTCAATTCTTAAACCCTCTTTTCTTTCTTTTTCTATGTTTTCTCTTTTGGAACCAGAAGTCTGTGGTCTTTTTCCCCGGTTCAATAAATGGTTCGGGCTGCTCATTGAAGTGGTGATTTGAGTGATGTTAACTCCAAGGTTGATCGAATTAGTGAAAAAGAAAACATGGTATAAATTTAATCGAAATTTTAGTATATTTATTCTATTTAAATTTGAAAAAAAATTAATTGATTTAAAATTTAATTAATTTTTAAAATGAAAATAATACGATTGTATTAATTCAACTCAACTTGATATAACTATATATATATATAAAATTTTCATTACAACATAGTCACATGCCATTACAAGATAAACGATATAGTTAATGTGTATTTTAGTACAATTTTTTTTATATTGGATATATAAATATACACATCATAATACCATCTAAACTATGTGGAAAAACATGTTAAAAAATTTGTGCATTGAAATTTTGTTTCTTAATATTATGAATTTAGGTTGCTGAATTTGTTTTTCTTTAAATGAGATTTAGGTTATATTTATTAATGGAGTGTTGGATATTTAACTTATATTCTTTTTGACAATAATCTCTAAACCATATAGTTAAAAGCTTTCATTTGTAATTTTTTTCCTCCCAGATTATGAGTCCCTCGACTATATGATATTATTATGCCATCGACTTTTGAATGTTACAAATAGTTGATGGACTCAATAAAATAGTACCCTATAATCAAGAGACATTTTTATTACTTTAGATAGTCGAATGACACAACAAAATAATACTTTATACCTAAAGAAACTTTCATGTACTTTACCCTATATACTATGGAGATTAGAATAAATGGATTATATTTAGAGATAATGGCTAAAAATTCTTCAACGAATAAAATGAATTTGAACAACAAAATTCTAATTAGATTTCATCTACTCCTATTACTTAATAAGCCAAATTACACAGTAACAAAAGTAGAGAATCTATAAAATAATTAGATTTTTTTTATCCAAAACACGACTGTTCTAAATTTATTCTAAAAGAATGTACAAGTGCATAACTATATGACATGGAAACGTAAATCTACCACCTTGGATCAAATCATGGTCTCTCACTTTTTTTATTTGATTCTATAACACCTATTAGCTTGAAGTTGAGGAAGAAAGATAAAAACACCCAAAAAGATGGATATGAGTATTTAGGTTATTTGTTATTTTATGAGTTAATATATACTTCTGACTCGTCGTTAGTCAATAACAACCACATTAGCTATGTCGTTTATTTTATAACGACAATGGGCCATTTTGAAATCATTTAAATAGTTATGTGATCTTATTTTCAAAATTAAAAATATGATGATCATATCGATACCAACTCCATAGTTAAGTGGTCATTTGAGTAGTTTACTCATTAATTTTTATATTTTGCCCGCAATTATTGACTTTGGTTGATGGCTGTCCGGTTTTGTAATCGACTCAACCGTGCTCGCTCGAGCGGCTGTAGCTGCTAATGGCGCCATCGAGTGAAGAGTCCGCTTCTTATTTACGCCAACTTGAAATCGCGCGATTTCTCTAACGGCACTTCTCCTTTATTTAAAACCCTGCCTATTCTCTTCTCTTCACTTCACTTCACTACATCAAATCAGTAAGCGTTTCTACTGAATTTACTCATTCATTTGTCATTATCTTGCTTTGGATTTTGCATGATTTACTTGAGGAATTTTCTTTTCATTTCGTATCGTTTTCCTCTTTGTTAGTTTATAATTTCGATGTCGTTGATTTGCTTGGTTCTGTCTATTTTTGTTCCGAAGCTGGAAAAATCGTTAGGTTTTTTTATTGTTTTCTGAATTAAATTCACAGATCCGTTCAATGTGAGCAGCGATGACAATTTTCTGGAGCAGTTGTTCGCTTACTCTCCTAGTAACGATTGCGATTCTCTTACTGGACCTACGGGAGTCCTTCCATGGGTTGAAAATGAGACATCCGAAGCCCCGGATGCCGTGAACAGGCCACCATCGTTGCCCGATGAAAACCTGGTGAAGTCGTCGAGCCCGATCTTCGGTGGAAGCCGAGAATTAGTTTGTGCTATCTCAGCGGAAACTAAAGGAAAAGGCACAATGAAACGGTGCAGGCGCCGGGGACCCGGGGAATCATCACCTTCAAGGAAGCGATCAAAACTGACAAGGGAAGCAAATAATTTCGGAAAGCTTATCGATGGAAAATCTGTGGCGGAGAGTGCGAAAATTTTAACAGATCGACTCGCCAGAAAGATAAGCAATGTAAAGTCTCTTAACTTAGTGCTCCGTATTCAATTCACATTACTGTTATTTATTATATATAAGAATTATAAGAATTATAAAGAATGGGATTCTGCTTTATAAAGCAAGGGTTAACCACATATCCTTGCGTAAAAATGTTTCAATTTGTAGGAATTTGCTCTGGGTTTGTATTGATCCTCGGCAAGTAAAACAAAGGTTATCCTTTCCTTACAAGGTGCCTTTTTCTCGAAGGAAAACTTGAATGAATTCGTTTTTTCCTGCCCTCCAATGTCCCTATATTGTTTCTTAATACTTGTTTTGTGTGTACATTTGATGATATGAAGGAAAATGACAATGTCCGGTTGTTGTTTCTTAATACTTGTTTTGTGTGTATATTTTGCTATATGAAGGACAGGGCTGCAGATATGGCAAGTATCTTATTCGTAGTTAAGCTGATGATGGATTCAAATTCCTGTTATCTCTTACCACAAGTTCTCGGATCACTCGATCAAATCAAAATACACTGGCCAATGCGACTTGATATCCCAGTGCGATCTGATATCCAAGTCATAAAGCAAAATGTCAAAAGAATTGAGGACGAGTTCAGGAACAGCCGTTTATCAGAAGCTCAGGCCAAGCTGGAGTTGATCAAAGAGGAAAAGGTGATGAAAAACTTATATCAACAACGAGATGAGGTATCCTAACATTTACAAATCTAAGTTCTAAGTTTGATTTCATGATCTAGATCAATAACTCTCAAACTTGGTTTTTCAGGACTTGAAAGAAGTGCAGAATCAAGTTCAGAAGCTTGAGGCAATGTTCATCGATAACATGGTATGCATATTTCTTATTATTGATTATAACCGACATAGTATTAATTTTTTTTTTATTTATCATTTATAAATCATGAGCTAGACTTGTTTCTAGACTTAGCAAGAAGCTATATTTATCTATGTTACTTGAGTGGGAGTGTTGAGTACAGATTTATACCAGACTTATTATGTTCATTTTTTGTGCGAGGGTGTAGATAGAGGAATTTTAGATTGTCATATATCTGAATATCTGTCTATACATTAATTCCCCCATTCACTAGACTTGTTTTTAGACCTAGCATAATGTCATTTCAGCCATGTTTCTTAGTTTCAGATTCAATTCTCGAATATGGGTTCATTCCTAATATGGGTATGCTGAATTTTAATTTTTTTTTTAAATGAATTTGGTGAACCCGGGATAATCATTATAGTACATATGACTGAATATAAGTCAAACATGGACAATTCAAGCAAAATGAAGAGTTGAAACAACTCGAATTTCCTGTCTGACCAGACAAGAAAACCTAATGTTTAAGACTCCCCTGCTTTTGTTTTGCATGTACTTTTGCTTCGAAAATTGCACATATTGTTGAATCTTTCTATTCATGACATACATGCATGAATTTATAAACATGAAGGTGCTTTCTTGTGAAATGTGTTCTACATCCATATCTCTTGTGTGTCTGTTTTTGGCAATATATCCAGATTTAGTGTTTTAAGTCAATTCTTAGACTTGCACTTCTTTGCATACCTCCTCGATCATTTATATATACTCTTTTAACTTTCAGGATTTCAGCGTGGAGACTTTAAGAACAATGGTATGTTATCCATATATATATATATATATATCTTGTATATATTTAAGTGTAGACTCCATAAGTATTAAAGTGATTGACCAAAATATTCTTACGATTTATACAGTAAATAAACTCCGAATCTGAATCTTCAAATTTTAAGTTTATAAAGGTAAGGCTACTATAAAATTATGACTTGTTTCTTATGTTGGTTGTGCTAGCTTGCTTCATTAATTCCATGGATGATGTGAAAGGAACTACTACAATTGATGATCCTGTAATAAGTGGCTGAGGTCGTTTTGAATCAAAGGGTGTTTTGTAGATCACCATATGAGCTTCAATTTGGCTGAACTCGTACTTTTCTCTATCTAAAATGTACGGTTTTCGTATCTGTACTCGTTAATCCGTATTTTGTTCATGTATTTTATGAATTATATTGTGTTATTATCGTATTTGAGATGTTTTATATTCATATAAATTTTTGATTTTGTATCTTAAGTTGTTAATTGTATGGTTTTTATTATATGGTATTTAATATTGCTGTATTGTAATCGTATTTAAAAATGTTTTGTATTCGCAAGAATCAAGTGATTTCAGTGGTTAAGGGATTATTGTTAATCTCTTCAGGTCTTGAATTCGAGCACCACGTATGCAGAAGTATGAACGTTCATTGTCAAATGGTTAAGAATCTTTGAATATGTACTACCTTATATTATATTACGTGACTCAAATATTAATAAAATTAATCATGTTTATAGAGATAATGGTGGAGTGACAAAAAGTCAATCTTCAGTGATCAAATTTAAAAAAGAGGGTAAAGTATATAAATGATCATTGAACTTTTCAAGTACTTGCATTTAGGTCTCCTAACTTTCAAACTTGTAACACAATCATCAAACATTTAGTTCGTTTGCAATGTGGTCATCGACGGAACCGACCATTTCACTGTCGTTAGAAGAATATGACGTGGCACGTGAGAAAACTATTTGCAGCTATAAAAATTAGGGTAAAGTATATAAATGGTCACTGAACTTTTCAGGTGCATGCATTTAGGTCCCCAACTTTTAAAATTTGCAACACAATCATCAATTACATTCTAAACCCCAAATTTCAAAATACTTCAATTATATTTTAAACCTCAAATTCCAAAATACTTCAATTACATACTTAGCCTCAAATTCATAATCCATTCTCAAAATCTACCATATCAAACTAAACTTGAAGCAGTAACCCTAAACCCTCAAAACATAACTTTAAATGCTAAATTTCCCTACCAATTAACCTAACATAATCAATAACAACAAAATCCCCAAACAAACCACCCAAATCACTCGCTCAAGCCTTTTTCCTCTCTCCATGGTTCTCATCTTCCTTGGCAAACCAACAATAACAGTACGTGAATGTGGATTTAATGGGGGATCATACTAAACAAAGAAATTACAATTTCTCCTAGAACGCCCATAATTAACGCATCCAAAGAATCTTCTTCCAACATTCTTATTCGTCCAAGTTGTGCGTAAAATAGTTGACATTCCACAAAAACAAGTTGGGATTACATTTGATGGTGTATCCATTGCTTGCAATTGTTGACCAAACAAAGAGAAGAAGATGAATTTTGTTTTTTAGGGTTTAAGGTTTCAATTTGGGGGAACAAAATCGGGTTTGTTGTTTTTAGTATGATTCACTTGAGGATTTATTCAACTACAAACGGTTTCCTCACATGCCACGTCATCTTCTTCTAACGACAATGAAATGACCGATTACGTCGGGACCACATTGCAAACAAACTAAATATTTGATGACTGTGTTGTAAGTTTTAAAAGTTGAGAAACCTAAATGCAAGCGTCTGAAAAGTTCAGTTACCATTTATATACTTTACCCTAAAAAAGTAGTGATCAAAACATGAATAAGTTCAAAGTTCAGTGAGCAAATGCGTAGTTTACCCCCTAATATCGCTCGTTCGTCGAGGCTTTCGTTTCTGTAGTGAAACCCTCCCAAAGAAAGGACAGCCGCTCTCCTCTTCTCTTCACAGTTGTAGTCACAACGAACCAGTAAGTACTGCTGATTTTACCGATTTCATTTTCATCGCTTTCTCACAGATGTTTTGCTTTGATTTTCCTGAATTTACTAAAAATGCTGGGTTCTTTGATTGATTGTGGGAATTTCGTCTCTTTTTTCTTGTTAGGTTATAATTTTTTATCAATTGTTAGAAAGAATATAGGTGTTGTTGATTTGCTTTCTGAATTTGGGAAAATCGTTAGTGTTTTTGGTTGTTCAATGATTTCATCTGATCTGAGTTATATTTCCCAGATCCGCACTAGATGAGCAACGATGACAGTTTTTTCTTATTTTTTGAACAACATAGATTGTTATGTCGAAAACTATTGGGAGTTTAGTATGCACCTTCAACAGAAAAGAAGCAGGGAATTAGTTTCCGGTAACTAGTTAGAAGCTAAATGAGAAGGCACAAATAACATTTTTTACCGCAAGCATTTGGAAGATTAGTGAGAATTATGTGGTGGATATAGAGGGATCGAGTTAACAGAACGATAAATAAGGCGACTCTCAATTGAACTTACTACTTCATGTTCAATTCACATTATTTTGTTATATACGTGTGTATATATAGATCTTGAAGGTAAATACATCACATTGATTAGCAAGGATAAAGGGTTGTACTTGCCTTATAGGATGTCTTTCTCTCAATGGGGGGAAACCCCCCCTTGAGAACTGTCTTGACCTTCCAGTAAACAATAGCTTATAACCGGTACAATACGAAAATCCTTGTGTCAATAATGATGTCATATGTTGGAAGTCGTTCTGGATTCTTACTAGTCCTAGTCAACTAAACAATCTCGCATCAACTTGCAAATGATTGAAATGTTATCATTCCCTATGAGATGCCTTTTCTCAAACTAAAAGAAAACCGTGAACAGTTTTTACCTACAAAGTGACGGGTAGTCCAGAAAATCCTTGCCTTAAAAAGTGCAGTCCAATCCTTGCTAACCAATTTTGGATGTTTTACCCTTTTATATATGTATGGTAAAGAACATAATGCTCTTTTTTTCTTTTCAATTTTGGTTGTTGCTAGGAAGTTGATTTGCTGGTATAAAAGGTTCCCGTCGCTCGTGCTGCTTCTTTGTGCCTTTTCTTTTAGCTTCTGATAAGTCTTCGGAATCTAATTCTCTGTTTCTTTTCTTGCTACCACTTGACATCGAGCTCGGCGGGTTTATCTAGTTATCATCGGGCAACAATGTTGGTCTGTTCACACCATATCGTGCTTCAAATGTTTCACTCTGCTTCCCTCCAAAACCCCCTTTTCCCCTCAAATTTCAAATTAATGGTTCATCCAGGTACACTAGATTCAGGCCTCCCTTTTGATCTACTATCGTTTACTACTACCTCATTCATTTCATTTTCAATTTCGATTGTATTTGTTTTTTAAGACATTGCTTTTAGATCTTTACCGTCAAGACAAATCTTTAACAATATTATTATTGCTTAAAAAAAATTAGAGTTTCACTTTACTTGAGCTTTCCAATGACCAATAATGAATAACCTATTAATGAGAAATAATTCAACAAGTTCTTGCCAATGTAGTTCAAAGTATCAGATTACCTTGTTGCAGATAGTACATTGCATATTCTACATAGATTATTGATCTTACTGTTACTTGAAAGTGTGTATAATTTAAGATTTTAGGTATCAAGAATCTTACTGATGGAACGAATAACTTGAATGCTTAAGCAGTACAACTTTCTTAGTCTAACCGGTTAGTCAACTTTCTTGCCATGTTTATATTCACATTTGTTAAGAGATTTTTGTGTTCTTTGTTCTTCTGTCTATTTGATCCACTAAAAGTTTTGCATCTCTCGCCACATAGCTCCCTTGAATGCTCTGCTTCTCATCGTTTCTGGTTGTTGTTGGGGATTTGATGATTCACAGAAGTAAAAGGTTTGCTAGGTCCGACTCTGTTTCTCTGTGCCTTTCATTTTAGCTTCCGATAGGTGATCAGAAGCTAATGTTCGGTTTCTTTTCATGCTTCCAGTCTCCATCAAGGTCTCAATCTGTCGAAGGACCCCATACAAAAATCCCAGTTGCTGGTAGGAGACAATTCTACTAAAATGTTGCCGAAAACAGTAATCGTTGCTCATATTGAAAATTTCTACTTTGAAGTTTATAAGCACTTGTACGATCATCAGAAGAAAATTCCATAAGAATCAACATGTATGTACCAAATGACAACACGAGGAATGCTTCATGGATTTGGTCTATTAACCCCATGATAATAACCTGAAACCGATTTGAGTGAGCTTAAGGCAGTGATACCACCGCCACCGAAGATCATCGTGTACTCGAAATGCCCTTTTCTGGAATATTTGTAAATTTCATTTTTTTTATCATATTTAATAATTATAGTCATTTCCATATCGACATCATAGTTTATCATAATTTTATAGAATTTTTGTATATTATGTTGTACAGTGTAACATCTGTCGGTAGGCGTCATGGGCATGACCCCCTCCATGACACTGCTTCATGTCTCGTTTGTTTTGACATAGCGTTGTTTTTGAAATAAAAATTCAAGGATTGACGTAGAATTTGTTAAGGAGTATGATTTTTTAAACATTTACCCAATCAAAATTTAACCTAGATGAAAAAAAATATTTAAAATCAACCTATATAAATCTAACTTCAAAATTTATAATAAATTTTGATTAATTCAAAAATTGACCGAATTAGGTCGACGGTTCAATTAATTATTTTAAAAAAAAAATCAATTCAGTTAATGGTTAAAGAAAAAATCTATCAATTTAATTTTAGCTAATTTAGTTCATTTATCAATCGAATTATCTGATTGAACATCTAAACCTAAAGTGTATCATCTTTTTGATCCAATAATCTAAAATATTTTTTAATCCCTATCATGTGCCAACTTTTAGAAATTTTTAGCTAGAAAAGATGATATATCTTAGGTACCTAAATGAAAAATATGATATCTTTTCATCTTTCTCTCTTTCTTTCTTAAGGTACAATTCCTGCATTTTCTCTTTGGTTTTGGGTTATATTTGATCCATGGAAGAGAACTGTAAGCATGTTTTAGCGTCTACTTTCTGGGTTTGTTTTGGTTTGAAGATAATGAGTGTTTTTCCTCTACTTTTTTCTTCTTCTTAAATTTCTTTTTGTGTTAAGCTGGAAATGGAGCAAAGTTTAGTTTGCAATTTCTATTTTTCTTCATTCATTCACACACACACACACACACTGATTCATGGAAAGTGTGAAAATAAAATTGATTTTTAGTTATTTTAATTAATCAGTATATGATCATAGTGGAATTTTAAAGTAAAGCATCATAAGATGCAGAAGAAGATGATAACAAGCTACTTAAGATTTAAGAAATTTATGATGCTAAAATAGAAACAAAACCAAATAGGATCAGAGATGGTAAAAAAACGGTATCTGACTAGTCCCGACCTGATCGGATAGGATTATTATTTTTAATAAATTCGAGTCTATCAATCTTAAAGGTCCAAAAGGTAGATACTAATCGGCTTTTTGAGTCTATCAATCTTAAAGGTCCAAAAGGTTTGAGTGTTTGGTACCAAGGAGGCGCAAGCTCATTAAAGAAGAATGCATTGAAGAAGCCGGTTACGGTGGAATACTTGGCTCGGGGTCATTGTCACTGAAATAGGCACTAAGGGATCTTTGTATTTCCAAGGCATCGGAAATGGCAGCTTTGAAAAGGCAAACAATGTCAATTAGTTCTCCTTGGGTCTCTGAAGCTGGAAGGATAAAAAATTTGTTCAAACCAGTCGTAGTTGAATCCGCCTGTGGATCCGGTCGTCCCGGAGGTGAAGGTAAGCGGGGTGTGGTTGAAATATCTTTGGTGCCTGAAGAAAGCAGTTCAACTTCTTCTCAAGCTCCCAAGGTAAAGCCATTGAGCCAAAGTGCTAATTCTTCTTTCGAACATTGAGTCAAACTGATATTTCTTCATTGAGAAAAGTTGGACCTATAGCACCAAAGGCTGAGCTTCATCGGAAAGAGAAGCATACTTCTGCATCTTCGACATCTTGTTCTAAAGCCGATAATAATATTCTAGAACCTGACAACACTGTGCCTGCTTCAACCAAGTTACCAAAACGAACATCAATGCCCAAGTCGGGATGAAAGGTCTGGCTGCATGCCGTTGCTTCTTCTAGCTCAATGAATGGCAGCAAGGTAAGCAGGATGAAGAGAAATTCACCACCGCGGGTGCCCAAAACGGTTGTCAAGAACAGGAATTTGGTGAAGGAGAAAATAAAGCCGGGTTCCTCTTCTGTCACTAGTGCTGCTAATACTCCCAACGGAGTTAACAGCAGGTTGGATTCCACTACGAGTCAATTAGTGTGTTAGAGATGTCAATGCTCTCTGAAAAGTTCAAGTAACGAGTCTAATCAAGATTTCATGAAGTCGCATGCATCCAGGATCGGTGCTGAAGCTAGCTTAGGTCTTGTGAATTCTGATGTGTGCAGACCATCCTTGGCCTAAAACAAATCTAACAGAACCTCCAGCTAGCTGCCGTTAAAATGCCTGAAATCTGGAGACAAGGGAGACTTCTCCCAAAGTCCGAGTAGCCTTGGTCTAGATGTCGGAATAGACCTCACATGTCGAAGGATGTAAGGTGGGAAGCCATCCGGCACGTTAAAATGCAGGATGGAGTCTTGGGGTTGAGACATTTCAATCTTCTAAAGAAGCTTGGTTGTGGGGATATCAGGACGGTACATCTTGCTGAGCTTATCGGTACAAACTGCTTGTTTGCGTTGAAGATCATGGACAACGAATATTTGGCAAGAAGGAAGTAAATGACGAGGGCCCAAAATGAGAGAGAAATATTAAGGATGCTTGATCATCCTTCTCTACCTACGTTGTTTACGCAATTCACATCGGATAACTTATCATGTTTGGTTATGGAGTACTGTCCGGGTGGGGACCTGCATGTCCTTCGGCAAAGGCAGCCTGGGAGATATTTCTCTGAGCCCGCGGCTAGGTAAGATGCTTAGATGATAAAATGTGAATTTGAATTCGTATTTCCTTCTAATAGTTTGAATTATCTTTGATCTTGCATGTTTCGCTCGCTCATTCAGTTTGAACATCTAAAGCACGATATGTCTGATTTCGCTATGATGTGTGTCGAATGAGAGTGTTTGATGCCCTGTTTTAGTGTTTTCATTCGACCTGAAATCGGTTTATATCCGAACTGGTTATATGTAGGTTTTATGTAGCTGAGGTCCTTGCTTTGCAGCAGTTGCACATTCTTGGAGTTATTTACCGTGATCTGAAACCAGAACACATTCTCGTTTGAGAAGATGGACACATAATGCTCATGGAATTTGACCTTTTGCTTAGATGCACGGTTAGTCCGACTCTTCTGAAATCTTCATCAATATTGGATCCTGCTAGGATATCTGGCCCGTGTGGAGGATCTAGCTGCGCTGAACCCTTCTGCATAGAACACTCATGTCAAATCCGATGCTTCAGTTCAAAGTTACTGCCTGCTACTGCAAAAACAAAGACGGCAAGACCAAACCTTGCTTCCCAAGTCAGATAGTTGCCACAGCTCGTGGCTGAGCCTACGAACTCATAAGTGTTTAGCTCCCGAGATCATTAAAGGAGAGGGTCATGGAGCTGCAGTTGAATGGTGGACAACCTACGGCGTCTTTCTTTATGAGTTTCTCTACGGAAAGACACCGTTTAAAGGCACAACGAACGATGAAACGCTCGCTAATGTCGTGCTGCAAAGCCTCAAGTTCCCGGACAGTCCTCTTCGAAGGCTGCTGGTAAAGGAACCCAAAAATCGTCTGGGATCGGAAGAAGGAGCTGCCAAGATCAAGCAACGCCCTTTCTTCGAAGGCTTGAATTGGGGTTTGATACGATGCGCTGTCCCACCAGAACTACCTGAGATATACGAATTTGGGGTTCCAGCCTTGTTGTCTCCGGAAACAAAGAGCAATGATTTGGAATGTAAACCTGCGAGAACACCTTGAATTTGAGTTATTTTGATACAAACAAGTTGTTTGGTATAAGATATTACCAGATTTTGTCATACCAGCCACTGAGATCTTTTTCTCCAGCAACAAGTTACTATATAAAACAGTAAATATTTTTTCATAGAGTTTTTTCACGGACCGATCTATATTTCTAACTCGTTCGGTTTGGTTCAATTAGTTCGACTTGAATGAATCGGACCAAGGGTAACATTTAGTAAGTCTTTTAATAATTCGTGATGACTTGAATTATTGATTATACCACAAAAAATGAATAATTGAACTTGATTATGTAGTTTGCATTCCCGTAGATATATGAGTTAGTCACGCGTATAATTAAATTTAATATTTGGAAATCATTTTTGTTTTGAATTAATCACTGATATCCGATCTATTGATCGACTAATCCAGATCAGATACTGCAGAGGCGAGAGCAATTCTCCCAACTCAGTTTGCTCCATTCGCAAACGCCAGGATTTGAACCCCTAACATTGCTTAAGGGATCTAGTGCCTCATCCCACTAGACCAATTGATTGTTGGTTGAAAATGATTTTTTTGATTTAATTTGATATGTTTAGAATTTTTTAATAAATTCAAATCAAGAAATCAATTTAAAATATCGATTTAAATCTTAAAATCAAATTTAAATATTTAATTAATAAAAAATTGAGTATCGAATTAAATCTTAAAACTAAATTGAGGTATCAAAATTATAAATTTACTAATAATATGCAAGAAAAGTGTATAAAACAAATATTAATATTTCCATGGGCCGGGAAATTTCTACAAAACGGTGCGTTTTAGGCAACGGATGAACGAACCATTTTCCTTCTCGTGTCTCCACCGAGCTTTTAGCTTGCGATATCATTACAGTTGAAGGCCAACTTGCTTTGCTTCCGTTACCTTTAATGGCGTCAAGCTCCGATGACAACGAGTTCGTTATTCTCATATGCTCCGATCCCTATAACCAGATCGAAGCTGATATCTCCGATGAAGAAATCGTTATCTCCACGACGGATTTCTCCACTTGGGATTTCCCTTCCATTCTCTCTCGCCGAACATTCAAAATCCAAGCTCATCGAAATAGGTAAATTGATTTTTTGATTTTTTGATTTTTTGATTTTTCAATTATTTCATTCATTTTTAGGCTTATTGAAGAATTTACTGTTCATTCCGATGCTTAACTTCAACTTCTTGTAGGCTTATTGAAGAATCTTCGTACTTCAGTGGTCTGCTCAGTGGAAGCTTCAGGTTTGTTAATTTTAGAAAGAAAATTTTAGTTATTAAGTTAGTAATAATTAATATAATTCTGGATTAATCCAATGAAATATGATTTGCTAAGTACTATTTAGCATTTTAGCTGGAAAAAAAAAGTTATTGAATGAGTAATGTAAGTAATGCTTAATGACCTTCACATTGTTAAATGCTACGAATTTTGAATTTCTGAAAAATTCGATGCAGTGAGTCGTGCTTGGACTGTATTTCAATCCAGTGGCAATTGGAAACGTTTTTGGAAGTTGTTAGATGCATCTTTGGCTTCCGTTTGGACATTACTTCTAATACATTCATTCCACTTTTCCAGGTAATCATTTTGGTTGCTTCAAACATTTCTGCTAGTTCTTTTTTTTATGCCTGAAATAAAGATTGGTTAGAAAGCAAATTAGCTGCTTATAGGTGGATGTTAAAATTTGCTACAATATTTTATTTGGATTGATAGCTGCCATTGTCTAAATTTACCACTCTCTTTTTTATTTGACTAAATTTTGCAACTAATTTTTTATCTTGATTGAACTTACCTTTCATCTCAAAAGTACAATGATAAATATTTATCAAATTAAATTATAGTGATAAATATCAATATGTAACCATAGTTGGTGGAGAAATTTCCCTTTAACCCAATAAAGAATAACCACGTGGCTGTAACTTTGGAGTATGAACTCACCCTATTTTATCACTTTCTAAAACCAAGTCGGTTGTATTTAAATTTCTGCACCACCTTCCAGGCTGCACTTTATTTCGGAGTGGAGATGCTTCTTATGCAGTTGAAATCTTGGTTTTCTGAGGTGTCCTTGTCCAAGGATTCTGGGATGTTTCAAATACAATTGGATGATCTGATCCATATATGGAATTTTGGCTTAGAACATGGTAAGGACATACTGTGTATTTCGAGATGATCAGAAATTAATAAAGATGCATATTTTTATAGTGATTTGTATTTACTTGATGTTATGCGGTGGCATCTGCACTAATAGAAATATTTTGAAAACGTTGCAGATAATGGTTTTGTTCAAGAAACATGTGCAAGCTACCTAGCAATAAATTTCGTACGTGCTAAATGTCCATTCAGCTTTTGAGAGTTCACCAGTAATGTCAGCTTGTAACCTTATTACAAGTTTCTGATTGAACAAATCTTCTATCAATGAGTCAAACCTCATTTGAAATTTTCATATATACATTCCATTATATACTTTTTAAGCTGTTTCTGAGTTGACCAATGCCGATTACCATGACAATTAGGTTGGGTTGGTGAGTAGTTGTCTCCTCTAGTAATTATCAGACTGGGATTAGTCATTCCTGCAGTTTTCTGAGGATCCAAATGACTAGAAAAAGAATAAATATTAAAAGTTCCACTCATTTCTTAACTTATCACCTGAGCACATATATGGAAAAAGGAAGGTTGCATTAGCCTATTAAGCTTAGCATTTGGGCAGCAAGGACATTGCAGTGGTGAGAGAGACATGTTTGCCAAGGATTAACTTAAACATGTGTGTTTAGATCAAGCTTTAGGACATTCCTATGATTGATTCTTCATTTGATAGTTGTGTCTCTTAGGGTTCTTATTATTTTTAACACAACTTGGTTCCTTTCTTTGGGTTATAACCTAGGTTCTCGTGCATATTGCAAGGTTGAAAGTGGCTGTCTTATCCTGATGAAGTCCTTTGTCATATCATTTTCAGGGAGAGGCTTGTATTGCATCAGCCTGGCTATTCATTTGAGTTTTGTGATGCATTTGTTTCAGACTGTTATAGAAGCTGATGAGCTATTGTTCTTGGTTATTCATATGATCTTTGTCTCTCTTGTAGACTTATTTATTATTTCTATTACTATTAGTTTAACTCAACTTGGCTCTCTCCTTTATGGTTATAAGTTATAACCTAGGTTCTGGTGCATATTGCAAGGTTGATAGTGACTGTCTCATCATGATGAAGTCCTCATTGTCATATCATTTTTCATGGAGAGGCTAGTACTGCATTAGCTTTCTGTGCATTGTGATTTTTGTGATGCATTTGTTTCAGACCATGATAGAATCTAATGCACTATTGTTAATTTCCTGCAGATGTGGGCCATGACTAGTGAAATTTTCAAAGATGTGCCTTACGAGTTTTTGCTACTTTGCATAAAGCATCCCCATTTGACAGTAGACAGGTTAGTAATCACCATTAAAATATTCTAATATTCACTTTTACAAAGTATTTTCTGAAGTTTGATGGTTTTGTGAACTTCCACAGTGAGAAGCACCTTTCTGATGCACTATTAATTTGGCTTGATTCTAATACAGAACGGTTGGAAAGATCAAGTAAGACAGGATGTGAATTTTTTGACATTTTAAAGCAGGTGATTTATATATTTTCCATTTCCATGTTAGTTCATCAGGGATGAATCCTAGAATTTTATGCTCGGGCCTGGGGTAACATAGTATCGGATTATATTTTTTTGGGGTGGGGGGTGTCGGAATTGGTTTTTTATCAATTTTTTGAATAAGACAATTATTAAAAACTCAGGAAGTTTGACTTTGGAGCCACTCCTGAAGTTCATCAAATTTCTGTGTTAGTAGATCCTGGTATTGCTGAGTGGATGGCTCTAAGAATTTGCTATTGAATATTCGAAAGTTTTAGTGGAATGCTTTATTTTAAGATGAATGAAGATTAATCTTGTTGTTTGAGTAAAATCTTGTATAATGTTTTATTTGATTATGCGATGTTCTGAAATTAGTCATTTTATTGATGTTGAGCAGATCCGCATTAGCCTTTTGCCATTATGGTTTTCTGCAGGTATGCCAGTTATGTTGTTGTTTTATTTATTGGATGATAGGATATTTTTATTTTTCATTAAATTAATTATGATGTTATTCAAATTATTGTATTTTGCAGGGAAAAGAAGTTCTAGCAGTTTTTCTGAGCTTGCAAATGAGAGTGTTGAATCAATTTTTAAACTAATGAAAGTTACACCAACAGGATCAATAAATGTTCTAGGAGATGGTGACTTGAGTCATCTGAGAATACGATTGACTGAATATTCCAAGGTATTTCCTTCACTATCTTTATAAATTCCTTGATTCTATCCCTTGCGTGAGATTTCCAAGAGGAATAATCCAATCATATTTTAGATTTCAATGGGGAGATATTGTGGTTTGTGAGAATTTACATCTTTGGCAATTTTATTTGTATGTAGTACCAAATTCTTGTTATACATGAATTTGCATGATTTCTGCAATTTCTACATCTTGAAGCATTTAGTAAATGACAACAAAATTCTTGCATGTTTTTTTTTCTTTGATTAGCATTATCAAAATATTTTATCAAAGTGAACATAAAATTTGCTAGCTTTTGGAGTTTCTGGAACTTTCGGAAATGGGATTATAGTCTATAATTCATTCTGCACGGTACGGGTTTCAAATACTAATAGCTCATGTGAGTAATTGTTCATGCTTAGCCATCATTGTTTACTTATCAATATTCACTCCTGCTTGTTGCATGGCTCCTTTATTTTGAAAGAGAGTTCCTTTTTACTTCATGCAGAGAGTGGACCTTTCTGGCTGTCCACAGATAACACCAATGATTCTGCTCTTGTCTTTTCTTCCAAATACCTGTAATTCATATTTGGTGTTGAGAAAAGCTATCAAAGAATTTGCAAGTAACCTTGAACAAGTTGATGGAACTAAATGTCAAATCACAAAGAGACTGCTGCCTACTTTGTCTTTTGAAGGTGTACAAGAGGTGGATATATCAGGTTGTCTGAAGCTACCTCTTGAAGATGCTATCGATTGCCTTTCCAATTCATTTCCTTTCTTAAGAAAGGTGAAAGCTGCTCATCTTTTGAACTTCAAGATGATGACTTTGTATAGGTTGATCCAGAAGTGTTCTCTGGTCTCTGAAGTTGATATAACTGTTGATATAAATCCACTTATTTCATCACAAGTGTCAGTTGTATCCTCTAGCTCAGCTGTAATCTCAATGGAACCAAACAGGATGTATTTTTTGAGTGATAAGTCTTCTATGACATCTCTTTATCATTTGGGACCCTCACTATCAAATATCACAAAGCTGACATTGGAGGGAAGAAATGATGTCTGTGGTGAGATGTTTTCTTCTTCTTGGTTGAAAATAGGTTTTCCCAACGAATTACAAAAAAAATGTTTTCATTACTCTGATCAATAGAAGTTCCGAAATGCTGAAGATTATTCTTGGCCAAAGGCACATAGCAAGTGTCATCAGGAATTTTTTATTTAATTTTGCTTGATGGAATGACAATTCGTACTTGCATCATATCAATTACAGTGACCATGGGTAAAATACATTGATGTCAGAATATATTCTGCATCTTTATGATTGATATTTTCTTTAACCATGAAATCGATGACTGGTGAATCTTATGTGTTGTGATATATGGTTTCTTCAATCACTTTGTACTTCTGCTATTTCCTCATGGCAGCGCTTTCTAATGTTTTTCTAAATGTTTGTTCCAGATTCGGATATCCAGTATATCTCAAAATTCTGCGTCTCCTTATGTTATTTGAATCTTAAGGGGTGCAGCTCGGTGACAGATGTCTGTATGGCAAATCTTATTAGCAGATGTACAAAGCTACACTCGCTTCTAGTTTGTCATACTTCTTTTGGAATGAATTCGATTCTAGCTCTTTGCAATGCTAGTCCTAGTTGTATTAATTCTCAGACTGCACAGTTTGGGAAAAGGCCTTTGTATTCGTTGGCATCTAATCTCCAATTACTGCACATGGGTGGCTGCAAGTGTAAGCACAATTTCCTTTCTAGATATATTATGTATGGCACTGCAGTACTAGTTATTGGCCCCGAGTCATCTGCTTGTGATTTCTTACATTTCCCTTTTGGACTTGAATTTTTCCACATAAACTGCTATCATCTCCTCTCATAGCGTCAAATCTACATTTTGATCCCCTCATCTACTTTTTACTTTGATATGAAGAATATCACTTGATGAAGTATGTCGTTGATTATGATTGAATTGATGTTATGAGTCATATGACTATGGGGATGCAATGTAATTAAATGGTTTAAGTAACTAATATCTAATAAAGCCATGTGTTGGCAACTTGAGTTGACAAATCAAAGTTTTCTGTCTGTCTAAATGTGAGGCTTTAACGTAGGCGTCATATTTTGATCAAACTTGCACACCTTTAGGGGGTCATTGATATTGGAGAAAGTTCATTTGAGGAAAGATCTGGTAACCTAGAATCCTGCTTTGGACGGTGCAAGGAAGTTATGCATTTTGTCCGAGGGCTACAATTCTCTGAGTTTCCTTCTTTTGTCTTTTCCATTAAAATAAGTTTTACTATTTGGATGCCTATGAATACATGACTTCTTGGTTCTTCCACAGGTGCCGATGAAACTTCTTTACTAGAGCTGTTGTCTCAAACACAAATGCTGAAGAGTCTTTGCTTGAGGGACATAAACCTTGTTGACAATGTTCTTTGTAATTTCTCGGGTTCTCTCTTGGAGATGCTTGATGTTTCGAATACAATGGTTAGCAAATTTACTGGCTCTTTGTTTATTTATTTAGTTATTGTACTATGGCTGGCATTGCATTTTAGAATGGAAGAATCATAAAATAATTAACAGAGTACCAAACTTGTTTTTTTGACACACTTTTCCATGTCCTGAAATTTTGTACCTGATACATAACGGTACTCTCCTTATGCTAATAGAATTTGCATTCATATTTAGGCCATATAAACCATTTTATGTCGACTTTTAAACTTCATTATGGAGTTTGTTGTGGGCTATTGGTTAACATGTAACAAGTGGTGTATCAGACACACATGAAATGTAATTTTGGACGATTTCCTGATAAGATAGATGCTGTAAATGAAAGATACAGTTGTCTTACTTCTCAAGTCTCAAAATTTCAGATTTCTGGTGCTGTGTTGAATTTTGTTGTCCAGACAAATCCTGGCCTAAAGTGCTTGAATGCAAGAGGCTGTAAAAATTTGTTTCGACCAGAAAATAAGAAAAAAGAGGCAAATTGTTCTTCCTTGTATTCATGTGAAGAACTTTTTATGGGGCTTGGTAAGACGTGCAGATTAGAAGGACTTTCCCTGGGATGGGGGCTTTCTTACTTTTCCCTACAAGACCTGAAACCTGCAATTTTGTCATTGAGGGCACTGACTGTGGGTTTGGGTGGAGCATTACCTGAAGATGCACTGAGATTACTGCCCACCACATGTCCTTTGCTGGAGTCATTAGTTCTTTATTTTCAGGTACATAATCCATCCATTAGCAAATTTTGTCATGTTATTGGGTGGCACATATTATATTCTCTTAGGGTTTTCTTTGAAATTGTTCTAAGCTTTCAATTTCTCAGTTGTCGTGTTAGCTGCTTTGAGAATTTAAACATGCAATAATTTTTCTCCTCCTGTGGAATTAATTGAGAGTATGCCATATAAGGAAAGCAGCGATTTCCTTGATATCCTAGGAATATGTTGACCGCAATATTATTATGTTTAAGTTGTTTTCTAAATGGCAGTTTTTTTCCACGTTAGATCATGTTGTTTCATTGTCTTTGCACGAGTAGTTAACATGTGATTTCTTAATTTGTGATATAATATCTGGAATCGAAGATTCATTCAACTTTGTGAAACTGGTTGAGGATTAAACTAGCCGTGTGCTGTTCAGAAAACATAAGCTGTTTTCGAGTGTACTTCATCTGCATCTATTTTAGTCTTTTCACGTAATTGTCGAAATATACTTCTATACAGTGTTTTGTTTATTATTTATCTTTCGAGTTCTTTGTAGGTAATATCTGATTGCATCATAATCAACATAATGACATCCTTGTGGCAATTGCGAACGTTGGCTTTATGCTACTGTCTTGGTGATATATCCATATCAAGCTTGAACTTGTCTATGCCAAATCTACGGATATTGAAACTTGAGAGAGTAACTCCTTGGATGACTAATAATGACTTGGTTCTTCTGACTCAGAACTGTGCAAACTTGGTTGAGTTTTCCTTATTAGGATCCAAACTTGATTCAGGTAAAGAGACTATTTTTAAAGGATACAGTTGGCGTGCTACTAATCTTTACATGGCGTGTATTGTCATTTTCTTCCTCTTTTATTATTTTATTAGCTAATTTTCAGTATCCATAAAATAATACGATGTTGATATGATTATTGATGGATCCCCTTTTCGATGCGATTGTAATCAGCAATATTATCCATTTTGTTTGTTTTGATTTGTTTCCACAGATGCTCAATGTATCATCTCAAGCGGATGGCCAGGATTGATTTCTCTCCATCTGGAGGTTTGTTATGATCTGTACCTTTAGAATTCGGATATTATTTTCTTTGTTCTTCTTCTGTTTTATTCGAGAGGATTCCATGAAGGTTTGATGAACTTAATACACTGTAAAATATGCTGTTCTATATTTACATTTCAGCTTTAAACAAGCTCAGCTGTAAGTACAGAGGTATAGAAAGATTTAATATATTAAGGACATTTTAGCCAAGCTATAATATCGAGATAATTTAGTTAACATATTGTTCGAGTTAAAATGGGATATGCTGAGTATGCATGACGATAACAGCAATGCTGCTCGAATTACTGGAATGTGTGGTCTAAATTTTTTGTCCTTTTTTTGTAGTTATTACTAAACCATGAAAAAAATCATTTAAATATGGTATGGAGCTGATGATTAATGCAGTTATGGCATATGGATTCTGGAGTAAAATATTTTCAAGCCATTATGAGTTATTCTGTCTAGTCTAGTGATAACTCATGGCTTCCTTTTTTAGTTCGAAGGATAGAAAACGATATTCGTCTGGCAGCCCCGATGCCAATTGAGGGCTTCCTTTCGTCCATTTATAAATGAATGAGCTAGTTAAATGCATTCCACTCCGACATTGCATTTTTTATAAACTGATCTGTTTGTCGCGTAGGACTGTGGAGAAGTGACCGCAAATGGTGTTTCATCGCTTCTCAACTGCATTGCTCTTGAAGATCTCTTGCTGCGCCATAATGTGAGTGTTTGCTCATTTACTAGTCCTACACGTGCCTTTTTCATAGGGCCATTGTTACGCCATGACAAAAATGGCGAAGTTCCTCAATCTAGTTACAATCAATTTGGATACCTGAAATAATTAGCTGTTAGTTAGCTTTCTCTATTGTCATTATTACTCAAACTAGGGTGTGAGCGTCAACTACGAATATGCATACCATATGTGTATGTTCAAATTTTTAAAGTTTTCCTTGTATTTGAAAGATCATATACATATAGCCATATATGGCATACGTCTAGGGATGGCAATAAAATCCTGTACCCGGCGGGTTTTGACCCAATCCCATAGGGTCAACTTTTTTTTTTTTTTAAAAAAAAAAGAAATTTGGGTTTCGGGTCGGGTCATTTTTTCTTAAGCTTAGCCGGGTCGGATTTAGGTTTAGGGAGAACCCGTCCTATTCAGGATAGTTATGAAAATACTAGAATTATGGTATTAAATTAAATTGAATAAATTCATATTTCATTCAATTATTTTTTAATTTTGACAAATCATGTGAAAATTTGAAAATTATATTAAACTGGGTGGGATTTCCAATTAAATTTTCGGATTGAGTTTGAGGGGAGTGAAATATTTTTAAGCTCGGGTTGAGTCAGAATTTGTTGTTACAGTGTCGGGTCGGCCAAAAACTCGCTCAGTTGACATCCCTATATACATAAGACAGAGGTGTGTCAAACATGGGTACTTCAAATAAGTGAACAGTCGGAGACATAAGTCTATGTCCTTTAATGTGTCATGACTAAAGGTATGGACCTTGATACAACTCCTCCCTTACGTGTATACTCGAGGAGGAAATCTTGATCTTCCATATCGTTGTCATGTGCTCCGGATTTCCATGTCGGGTATACACGAAGAGGACTTGTATCATACCTATACTGTTCTTGTATATGTTTACGGTATAACCCTATACTCTGTTAAAATTCCACACGTTCTTATCACCAAGCCATTGCTCTTGAGATGAGAATTCGAAGCTGAATACTGTTAATCGAACTTTTATGTATTTTAATGTCATCATATTGATTCAGGGCCGTGGTATACAAAGAAACTTCATCCTTGAAGCTGCTTCAAAGGTAATCTCTTTCTCAAATAAACATTGCTAGTCTGTGTTTCCCTTTATTCAACACGCAGTCGAGTTTAGTACCTGATACAGACTGGGTGCCTTACTACAGATGCCACTGCTTCGGCAAGTATCGCTGGACGTATGTGATGCAAAAGAAGGCGATTTCAACATTCCAGATGTAAGTTACAAAATTTACTTCCTCCTTGTTTGTTACGTGCAAAAATTTACGAAATCCGTAATGTCAGTTCTGCCAGCCTCTCTAGATGATATCTCCAATTCCTCTCGATGATCATTTACGAATTTAACCAATAGTTTATTATCAATGTTCCTTTTTATCGATAGTTTCGTAAAGTCAGTTCATTGCATGTTATTAGAGAAACGAACTGAAACTTCGCTTTTGGGTGTTATCGCAGGGTACTGACCGGTATTCTTTGAGAAGCGTAAAGATCGCTCGATGCAAGTCGACAAGATGCAATGTCGGCTCCCATTTTGCAGAGGCTCGTAGAAAACCGGTGCATAGGGAGACACTAGTGCTGGTATGGAACAGCAAAAATGTTGTTAGAACAGTCGTGAAGGAAAGGCTGTAGCCTTTGAACGGACTGGCTCGTCGGCGTCGGAACGATACAAATACAAAGGTTGAGTGGTTTCGGATTCAAATCGTATCGGTTGTGTCTATCGGATAGGAATCGTTTTCATATTCAACTATAGTATTTCTATCGAAGGAATAAATTGTGTTTTTGAACTGGACTCGAAAAGAATTTGGAATTCCATTATCATTAATGCAGATTTATACATAATAATTTAAATTTTTTTTTCTTAATCTGAAATATTAAAAAAAAGGTCAGAGCTCAATTATTAATGAAAATATATACATATTAATGTATTTTTATTTATTAATTTATTGTTTTTTAGTATTAATAAACTCTCGTTTATTAACAAATTATATAAAAAAGTAAAAATAAAATGCAAATATAATTTCTAGTAGATGTTAGTTCAAATATTCTAAATACGCGTGCTATGATTGTATTTTTTTCTTTCCTTTTTGTTGGCGATATTGAAAGGACAAATTCTAATTTTGGTACTTCTATCATACTCAAATTTGAAACTTCATTCAAATACCTAATATTGTGGCCACTTCAATTAAAACATTGATGAGTTCTTTTATTAATTATTTGAATTAATTAATGGTATTACAAAATTAGATGAACCATATTATATTGTATGGTCCAATTAAGGTACACGTTGTTGACCCCGTAACAATTTTGGTTAAATTAAAACATAAAGATTAAATCTTCAATTTGATTCTACAGAACCACAATCAAAATTTGACAAAATTGAAGTATAGTTAATGATATTATAAAGGAGAGGATCAAATTATGTCAATTTGAAGGAAAGAGATTAAACCTAAAATTGAAATATAGTAGGTCAGGAAAAGAAATTTGACCAAACTGTAAAAATTTGCAATGCAAGCTGTTGAGAGTGGGATTTGAAACCCACGCCCCTTCGGACTAGAACCTTAGATCAACTCGACCATCTCAAATTTTTTTTTATCAGAAATAAGCAATTTTGGTTTTTATTCTGAAAATCAAGAGAACATTGTAAAGACTATACCACAAAAGGATGGCCATTCAAATTTCAAAGGATATTTGTCTTGGCAATGTGTACCAATCCTCTTTTCAAACTACTACAAAATAAGATGACTTCTACTTATTCAATCTTATAAGATTAATTTTTAAAAGAATTAAATTTAAAGTAAACCAAAACAAATTTTGTGAAGAATAGAGTCGATGTCAAATTTAGAGTAAAACAATATCCAATTCAACTCAATCCGAGATTATTATTATAATTTATTTTTAGGTAAGTTGTAGATGCTCGATTTGTCTGGGGTGTTATTTGATTTTTATTTGGGTTTTTATATTTTAGAAATTATATTTATATTAGTTAGTTTTATTAATTAATATTGTTTAATTAAATAAATTGTTATGGTATGCTTATATGTTATATGTATTACTATATAGAGTATAAATAATTAATATTAAGTATATATGTATATTGATTGGGCTATGATAAAATACTAATTAAAATGTTTTTTTACAGGCCCACACAAGACAACGTTGATTCAATCCAAATAGAGATCCGATTTGGAGCAAACCCGGACCAATGGCAAACTCGAGTCCTATAAGCCAGTTGTTCCATTCTTGCTAAAACGGTTTTCAAAGGTACCTACAACAGGAAATGACAAAAAAATTCATCACGAAGCATATTGTAAAAAAGGGGTGGGAACGGTTTGGAAAACTGAAGGGAAGCAGTTTCTAAAAGAGAGGAATCATCACAAATTACGGAGGACGGAGCGAAGAAAAAAAAAGGAAAAAAGGAACCAGCCTAGAGACATCAACAATTACCCGAGAGAACCAGAAGAACCAAAAAAAAAAAAAGAAAAACAATGAAAAGAAAGGGGTTTTCCTCCCTTTATTTTTGGAAATCAATAAAAAGAAATGGAGAATTGTTCCATTTATGTTTTTTCCATACAAAAACGTTAACAGAATATAACCAGAGAAAAAAACGAGAGCAAATATAACAATCCAGGAGCAGAAAATTAAACGATCCAACACAGAAGCAAAACAAAGCAATACACGTTAACAGAGAAAACATTTTCGAAAGATTTTGTAGGTGGTTTTGCCGAAGTCGTCGTCGTTGGTATGGCGTAACCGGAGACGAGCATAGAAGCAGTCAAAGGTCGTAACATGGATCGATTTATAACCAAGGCGGATTCGGTCGGAAGATAAAAAGCTAGAGAAAAGAAAAAAGCCAAGTAAAAACTTACCTTTCCATTCCAAGAGGATGGTCGTCGTTCATCTGAGCCAAGGACCTTCAAAGTTCTGTTTTTTTTAATCCCTCAAGCATGTTTATTTCCTTATTCTGTAATTTTATATTTCTGTTTCTTAACTTTGTATATATTTGTTTCGGTCCTAAATGTTCATAGTGTTATAACAGTTATGGTACCACACCGTTTAATTATTTATATTTAACCATGATGTTTTGCTTTATTTCATGCTAGTGACCTTCAGCTTTTATTTTGTTCATTTTAGCCATTACATTGCTTTCCTGGGCTCGTACATGTGTGGTATATATATATATATATATATTAAGTTCCTTGATTGTCAAAATGCCATCATGCATTTATATTTTATATAGCAATATTTTTTTGCATGCCCAAATTATCATAATATACGCGCACATGTATATATATTGCTTTTAAGTATGCTTTAGTTTTACTCTAGTTTTGCTGTTTTTCTATTTGATAAATTAAGTACCCTCGTGTGTGTATAGATTTAGGTTTTGTATTACTTATTTATTTAATAAGTGTTAATCTTATGTGCATAACTCGACATATTACATAATTGGATTAAGGGTAATACACTTTTAATTTAAAATTGTTTTAAGTGGATTGTCATAACGCATTTGAGGTCCGCTTTTAATATTTTTAAAATAAAAGTGTATCTCATTAGTGACGCCTAAAAATTGATCCATCACTTTAAAATTTGGAAATGGAAGAAAAAGAAATGTTCGACTATTTAAATTTATCGAGAAAAAGTTGTTATAGCTTTTAAAATCTGGTCTCGATATTTGTAAATAAGCAAACATTATTTATCTTTCTAAAACGACTTGGTAATCTTAATTTAATTTATTTGAGTGCTTTTGAACATTATTAAATTCACATCTTTGTTTTATGAGATCAAAAATCAAATTAAGTTCGAATTTGTAAAATTCATTGTAAAAACATTAATTAATCGATTAGGTACCGTTTTAAGGCTTTGTAGGGTGCTAATCCTTCCCCGCACGTAACCGACTCCCGAACTCATATTTTAGTAACGCAAACCTTAATTTGTTGTTTTAATTAAAATTAGTTTTTATTTAAAATAACAAACATTTTTGGGTATCCAATCACACCAAATCAAAAATTGGTGACGACTCTTTGAACCGTATTTTTTCAATCGTAAAGGAAATCTAAAATTTTTCAAAACGAAATGTTTTTTAAATTGCATTTGTTTTTAAATTAAAAATCAATTGAAAGAGTTAAATAAAAATTAATGTGATTTTTAAAATCTCACTTTCTCATTTTTAAAGAAAAAAAATCGTTTCGACATAAATAATATAGTGTTCTTTTATATATATATTCAATTATCTCTCTATCTTGTCGAATATAAAAAAAGTTAATTGTACCATTTTGATTACCAAGACAAGTGGAACATCCTCGAGCATCGGGCATGTCAGGATCAACCTAAGCTTTCAATTTTTAGATCGGGATTGGGGCGACCAAATAATCAACTAGCCCCGCCCTATGCCCATCCCTGATATCTACCAAGTGTTGCATATAGTGGCAGGACACATTGCACTCCCAAAGAGAAAACTTAGATTCGAATTTTAGAAATAATATTATTGCATAATTCGTTAAATAAAAACGAAGGATACCAAAAAATACACGATCAATTAATGCCTTAAACACAAGTATAACGATGGGAAATAATATAAACATGACATTAATCATGTTCACTAGTTCATCCAGAAATGGCAATATGTAAACAAAGATATTGTTAGACCGACTTATTTTTACACTGCAGATCCATGCTTTGCCTTGGAATGCGATAGTAAAGCATTTTCAGAGCCAAATGACCTGGACAAGTTTTGATGGCAATGAATTTTAATCCATGCGAAAATAAATGTAATCGGTTTAAGTATTTGATAAGACTGACCTGCCACAAGACTTGCAAAGAAATGATGAACCACCTGAACTTGAACTCTCTTTCGCCTGACCAGTGGTGGCCGATGCTTTTCCTGCTTGTTTCGAAGGGTGAGGGTTTGCGGTATGTCCGCCCACTTTCTTGCCATCTGTATCAAAGATTTTGCAATTATGAATCCCTCATTAGTCATTTAGTAATCAACATCTCAAGAAGAGCACATAGAAGAGAAAATGTACCTGTCTTTTGGGGAGTGATCAGCTTTGCCTTTTTCCCGGGAGCAGGGGTCTTCATAGCCGACTCTGCAGACATCTTCTTTCTTGGTCCGGCCTAAGGAAAACCAATCACCAGTGGCGGTGATCAGAATGACAAGTAAAAACTCAACCGAAACACCTCAAAGTCCTGAATGGACAAGCTTAAAGCATATGTTTTTACCTTTTCAGCCTCAGGTGTCTCTTGATCTTCATCTGAACTTTCTTCTTCACTATCATCATCACTTTCATTCTCACCATTTACTAACAGGCCAGGTTCCTAAAACAATGAGTCAAAATCAACAATAACTAGACATAGTATTACGTCACAAATTGGATTATGAAACAACAATAAAAACAGCTTTATCAAAACAACAGCCCCAACCAAGATCAAGATAGAAACAGAACATTTAATTCAGCAAATTTTTGGATGAAAAAGAAACAGTAACTTGATATAAAGACAATATATAATAAAGGAAAATATCGAAGATTTACTAGGTTCGCAACAAGGATAGTCGTGTCTGTAATGTACCATCAATCATTAACAGTTTAACACCTTATTTCAACTATTCAGAATTATGATTTGCCCAAAAACGGGAAGAACTTATCAGCTGGCTATGATTCTAATTGCTGGACATCTACCTGATCATCACTGGACACTTCATCCTCAGTAGAAGTATTATCTTCATCCTCATCGTCACTACTATCCTCCTCTTTGTTTGGTTCCGCAATCTTAACCTGCTTTGACGTTGTAGGAGGATCAGATGCTATAGCATGAGGCGTTACGGGATTAATTGTGGGTTCAGGGAACTCATCTTCGGACT